AACCCCCCCCCCTCCCCCCAAATCTTCTCAAATCTCAAAAGTAAGGGAACAACCTCGACGCGTGTTGAAGACGGCGTAGAGATACAACTATTCGTGCTTGATGGATGTCCGTGTTGCGTCTGCAAAATTGAAGGCACGATGGCGCGGTGCGTACACTTGCAATGCTCCGCTCCATACTGCCAACGAGGTGTCGTTCAGATTTTGGAGAAAATTAAAAAAATGAGGCCCGATTACGCCTCCCCTATTTTCGGCTGGACAATTGATTTTTTTTTCTTTTTCTTAATTTGAAGTCTGTATATTTTTTTGGGTGTATTTGTATGGACCTGTATCTAATCGTAATCAGTCCTTGTTAAATTCTCTTTTAAGTCTTCATTGAGTCAAAATCGGCAAACAAATAGATTTGGAACGGTAATATTCAAACCACGTGTCTCGGAATTCCGTGTTATCCCTTAGCTTTAAGAACACGTACCTCAGTTGTTCGGTCATTTCTCCAGACATTCGGGAATATTATTCAAAATGCTGATAGAGTCTTTAAGAAGCATCTTATCCTTACAATCTTCAAGAATTTTTTCCCCTGCTGTACCTTAAAAGGAGAAAAATAGAGACAGTTTTCTTTCGTTTTCCTGAAAAATCAAGATTTCTGAGATACCTGGCCGCGAACTTTCGGTATCAAAATAAAATTTTACTTTGCCCATGTCTAAGAAATGTGGAGACTTTTGGACCAACTCGAGGCAAAATATTATTTTTGTAAGAAATTGGGGTGAAGGGTAGTTTGACTTTTAGCTTTAAATCTTTGGTTTAAAATCTTTGGGCCATTTTAATGCATATTTCACAGGTAATCCCTGAATTTTTATCTACTATGTTGCTAAATCGGCAAGAATGCTTTGCAATTCTAGTGGAAACATCGTATTTTTGCCGCAGTGGCAGTGCGAATTCGTGATGGCAAGATCACTTATAGTTGCTATTGAATGGAAACCCCTGAAAGCACAGCTCGCGGTTAACGGGGAGCGAGGCCTGACAACTTATCTTGGTCCATAAGTCCATACGCTGTTTTGTCGTTTATCTCTCTCGCACTTATTATCCGATGTGGCATTCCTCGGCGCGTCAAAGGCGCCACCTGGCGCACACACCTATTTTTGCAATTAATTATGTTGGGTAATAAATTTATGTTGCAATTTTTGCAAATTAATTTTTGGTACTTCAGCAAATTGATTTTTTTCCGGACTTCTACTTTCAGTGCAAACAAATTTGGTCATCTGCAAGTTTTTAGTCCCTCGGGGGGGTCTTTTGTAGAGCTTTACGTAAACTTCAAGATGCAATAAGAAGAATAAAAACTTCCAAATTCTAAAACGAGCTCTGAACAAGTTTGAATGGATATTCTTGCCGAGAAATACACCTTTCCTGTAGGAATTATTCATTTATTCCTCTAAAATGCAAATTATTATGATAGAGTTTGTGTACATTGCATGCCGTTGACAGCCCCAAGAAAAGTCTAAAACTGGAGGACCAATCAAAAAGTGGTACAGACATTGCAACACTCTCGCTAGGTACTCTCGGAAGGTCTGACCAGAGGGATGATTTTTTAAATTGATAGACAAAGTGATAGACATAGAGAAGACATAGGGAACATGGAGCGATCCTATTGGCTGATATGGGTGGTTGTTATTGACCAAGGGGGAAAATGATGGACTAACTACAGGATCTCTCGTGGGTTGCCATTATAGTTAGTCTATTACCTACCTCTTTTGTCCATTAGAACCACCCTCTTCCACCGATGGGATCGCTCCATACTTCTGATGTCTTCTTTGTCTATCATTTTAAATAATCAGCCCGCAGGTAGGTCTCGCCTAGGAGGAAATTCTGAATCAACTATCATTGNTTTTTTTTTTTTTTTTTTTTTTTTTTTTTTTTTTTTTTTTTTTTTTTTTTTTTTTTAAAGCAACTAGGATGTTGATTCGACAAACTAATTTGTTCCCGGAGTGCGTAGATTCGCGCATGATGTGTTTTAAAAATTTCAATTTGGCGCGGAAGAGAGAGCTCTTGGGTTCTAAAAATTTCATTCGATTTTTACAACGCAACATAGTATAACGCAAGGTTTTCCATACCATAAGTCGACGGTGAACTTCCAAACCACGTAGGTATCTCGTTTGCTGCGTTTGAAAATCTCCACTCCTGTCTCATTTTTTTATTGCCTCGTACAGAGAAGAAAAATTACGGAAGGTTTTAAGAAGTGACGTCGACTAGTTTTGCATTTAAAGAATAAACTATGACAGAAAGTCTGCAGTGTATCACAAATCGATACACGTGGTTTTGGGGTTTTAGCATCGAAATTTGAATCAGTATACTTTTTTCCGCGATGGCGTAGAAGTGCGATTTGTGTCGAACCAAAGTAGGCTGAAATACGTCAATTTGAGCGTGTTGAAATCCTCCGTGTAACTTAGGGGAAAAGGTCATCGCTGGAGGCATTTTACAGATTACCTATGAGGGGGAGGGGGGAAAAATCCTCACTGATTTAAGTTTCCGACTTGGTATCCTAAACTTTTTAGTCCTTCCTGCTTTGATTTCATTAAAAAAGACAGTATCTTGGAGAACATACTGAAAAACTTTCTTTTTCGAGTTTGATGGACATTTTGAGATCAAATAGCTAGCAACTTGACGTAGATAATTCAGTCAATTTCGGTCTCCCCAAAAAATCGCAGCTATACCAAAATCAATACGAGGATTTCAGCGTTCTATTTTTTGAAATTCGTCAAACATTGTCACAACTAACGAAATTGTAGCAGAGGGAAACTTATTTTTTTTTAAACCCAGGTAACCTCGAATAAGTTCAAGTTTTTCCTCACCCCAAAGTAAGCGTCCATGTATTCGACGTATCTGAAAACTCGGGAACCTCTCATTCGGGAAATTCCGCGTCTTTTTAAAGAGTCAAAATCGATCTGATTGATCTTCCTCATAACCATTGTTTTCCTTGCGTTCGAACAAAAAATTTCGTGGCGTTTTCGCGGTTTTAAGTGCGGAATTTACTTTAACGCGTTGCGCGCTATTTGTCTTATCGAAGGAGTACGTGATGTGAATTTCATCTTGACATCCTGCTAGTGATTTGCAAGTCCTGATTAGTGCTATTATAAGTTATGAACAACGAAAAATGCATGCCGAAGTGAGATTTATGGAAATGTATCGATAATTTTTTCCCAACTTCGCCTCCAAACCGCGCGGTTTCCTAGGATGTGATTATTTTTTTTAAAAAAAAAAAAAAAAAAAATCTCTACAGATGCTCTGTAATGACGATTCTAAAAATGTATCGTGTCCTGTTTTATCTGAAATTATATCCAGGTGCGATTCTAATGCGCTCAAAATGAGTTACTTACGGGAAAATACTTGACGTGTGTTTTTAAGCATCATACTAGTGAAATTCAGTTCACGGGCGCGTTTTATCAGTTTTCAATGAAGATTCGTGAACATCGACCATGTTTATCCATAAATCCAAAGGCAATCATAACAATAAGAATGAAGAATCCAGCGACAATGAATCTGAAGAAGATACCGGCGATTTGTTACAGGTGAAAAATATTGGAATTAATACTTTTCCGCGTCAAACACCAAAACGTTGAAACTTTTTGACACGTTTTAAAGCATTATAAACTTTAAAAAACGATAAAACGTAGTTACAAGAATATCATAAAGAAGAAACTATAATGTTCTCCACGTCAAAATACTCCCTTGCGATTATTCGCGAGGGTATATGACTTTTTTGTCTTTTTCCGACCAGGCGCGTCGTCTCCAAGCTTAATGCTGGGTTAGAACTTTCTTAGAATGAAAACGGAGAAATTTATGTGCACGGCCAAGATACCGTGAAAAATAGAACTGATATGTTCAAAATCCCTCTCCACAGTCAACTGCAGAGGAGCGTTGATTTTTCGTCCCTTTCCAACTAGTCGCATCGTCATCAAAGTTAATGAACAATTGAACTTTCCCGGAGCTGTGGCCAGGAAATTGACATTGAAAACCCACGTTTGAAAACAAGAAATTTAGAATTTGCTTGAATATGTCTTAATGATCATATGAGTAAAATGTGAATCAATGATTAGGGACAATCATATTAGTTTTCGAGCTACTATTTGGCGTGAAGAAGCAATTAATCCGGAAATTGATATTTGAACATATCAAATGAAGATTTTAAATAACTTTGTATCGTAATAAAATTTTTAAATTACAAATTTTACAAACATACTGGTGCTCTCTGGTGAGGAGACGGGGCGTGAGCTCCATTTTAGCGTGGTGATTATTGAATTTGATAGACAAAGCTATAGAAAAAAGAGACACAGAGAGTATGAAGCTATCCGATTGGTTGAAATGGGTGGTTCCTATAGACTAAGGGAGAAAATGATGGGCTAACAATCGGGTCTCTCGTGGGTTGCCGTTAATCTAGTCTATTACCTACCTCCTTTGTCCATTGCAACCACTTGCTTCCACCAATAGGATCCTGGATCCCTCCATGTCTCTTTTGTCTTATTTGTCTACAGTTTTGTCTATCAATTTCAATAATCGGCCCGCTGAAGAGATAGTCGAATCAGTTTGACCCGGCTTGAGATTTACAGGGGTAGTAGTCAAGATAATTTCTTGGCTGGACACAACTCTCGCCAAAATTCCAAATTTTAGACAAACGCCCTAAGGAACGCTTTAGAGGTCTCTGGAAATATTTTGATTTTTTTTTCCTATTTCAAAATAATTATCGATATGAACACACCACACTGCATTTTGAGCAAAATCATCCCTCCCCCCAACTCTTCTCAAATCTCAAAAGTAGGTAAGGAAGGGAACACCTCGACGCGTGTTGACGACGGCGTAGAGATACAACTATTCGTGCTTGATGGATGTCCGTGTTGCATCTGCAAAATTGAAGGCGCGATGGCGCGGTGCGTACACTCGCAATGCTCCGCTCCATGCTACCAGTGAGGTGTCGCTCAGATTTTAGAGGAAATTTAAAAAATGAGACCCAAATACGCCTCCCCTATTTTCGGCTGGACATTCGATTTTTTCTTTTTCTTAATTTGAAGCCTGTGTATTTTTTTGGATGCATTTGTAGGCCTATATCTAAAGCACGTTTGTAGGTCAGCATCATAACTCACCCAGAAAAGATAGCTGAAATAGTTGTCAAAAACACCATGATGCTCGACTGTATAACCCGACCCCATATAACCCGCGAGCCACGTGTTTTTAAGAAGTCTCGGGTCAATTTGACCCGGCTTGGAAATGTAAGAGTTAGAGAAGCTGTCTAAACTCGGATAGTCAAGTCTGCTCTAAGTAAATGAACTGGAGACACATTTTCATGGCTGATGGCAGTCTGTCAGATGAAAAGGGAGTAGGTGACCTATTGTTATCAGTGCTGCGTAGATACACGTGCCTTTTGAAGATGACTGATCACTCGGGATCCTCGCGGAAGAAAATTTAGTCAATCATGATACTTTTGGGGGTAGCAGTTTCTATTTTATCCATTCAATTTTGTCTCAGTGCAGACATGGGTCGTAATTTTTTTTAGGACATCCAGTAATCCATATTATTAGCGACGAACGTTATTTCATCCAGTTGTGGGAGCTACTGAACCTTCCAGGGGGAAAATTGGAGTAATCAGTCCTTGTTAAACTCTACTTTAAGTCTTCATTAAGTCAAAATCGGCGAAAAATAGATTTGGAACGGTAATTCTCAAACTACGTATCTCGGAATTCAGTGTTGTCCCTTAGCTCTAGGAACACGTATCTCAGTTGTTCGGTCATTTCTGCAGACACTTGGGAGTATCATTCAAAATGCTAATGGAGTCTTTAAAAAGCATCTTAACCTTGCTGCTATCTTCAAGAATTATCTCCCCTCTACCTTCAAAGATGAAGGATAGAGACAGTTTTTTCGTTTTCCTGAAAAAATCAAGATTTCCGAGATACTTGGTTGCGGATTTTCGCTATCAAAATGAAATACTATGTCCATGCTGAAATGTGGAGACTTTTGGACCAACTCAAGGCAAATTATTATCTTTTTTAAGAAATTGGGGTGAAAGGTAGTTTGACTTCAGTTATATACATTGTACAATCTTTGGGTCCTTTGAATGCATATTAACAGGTAATCTCTGAATTTGTTTCTAACGTTTTGCTAAATCGGCAAGAATGCTCTGCAATTTTAGTGGGAATACGGATTGAATAATCAAAAACCGTGTTATGCTTCAACCGGACAGTATTTCAATATTTTACTAAGGCACACACTTACTCGCAAAAATACTGTATTTTTACCGCGGTGGTAGTGCGAATCCGTGACGGCAAGGCCACTTATTGTTAGTACATATATAGCTTTTGGATGAGAACCCCTAAAAGCACAGCGCGCGGTTAACGGGGAGCAAGGCCTGACGACTTATCTTCGTCCATACGCTGTTTTGTCGTCTATGTCTCTCGCACTAATTTATCAGATGCGGCATTCCTCGGCCCGTCAAAGGCGCCACCTGGCGCACACGCCTAATTTAGCAATTAATTATGTTAGGTAATAAATTTATGTTGCCATTTCTGCAAATTAATTTTTGGTATTTCAGCAAATCGATTCTTTTCCGTACTTCTACTTTCAGTACAGACAAATTTTGCCGCTTTTTGATCGGTCTGCAAGTTTTTAGTCCCGGGGGGGGGTCTTTTGTAAAGCTTTACGTAAAGTTCAAGATGCAATAAGAGGAATAAAAATTTCCAAATTCTAAAACGAGCTCTAAACAAGCTTGAATGGATATTCTTGTCGAGAAATACACCTTTCCTGTAGGAATTATTCATTTATTCCTCAAAAATGCAAATTATTTTGACAGAGTTTGTGTACATTACCACTGACAGTCCCATGAAAAGTCTAAAAGTGGAGGACCAATCAAAAAAGGGCACAGAAGTTGCAATACTCTCTCGCTAGGTACTCTCGGAAGGTCTCGCCAGAGGGGTGATTTTTGAAATTGATAGACAAAGTGATGGACATAGAGAAGACATAGGGAACATGGAGCGATCCTGTTGGCTGAAATGGGTGGTTGTTATTGACCAAGGGGGAATATGATGGACTAACTACAGGATCTCTCGTGGGTTGCCGTTAGTTAGTCTATTGCCTACCTCCTTTGTCCATTAGAACCACCCTCTTCCACCGATGGGATCGCTCCATACTCCTTATGTCTTCTTTGTCCATCGCTTTGTCTATCATTTTAAATAATCAGCCCGCAGGTAGGTCTCGCGCCTAGGAGGAAATTCTGAATCAACTATCATTGCATTTTTGGTCTTTTCACAGAGACGCCGAGAAGAATGCGAGAGAAAAGCGAGGAGGGGGGAGATGGACCCCCGGCTGGAATTCACCTTCCAGCTCCTCATGGACGGCACCGGTCTTCCTCGATCCGACATTATGGATCACGTGTTCGATGGAAATATGGTACGTTTTTCGATCATTAACCTCTCTCATCTACTAGTTCAGGCTGAAGTAGATAGTTTTAGGAATATCCTGCTGGCTAACCGTTGAAATTGATCGACAAACCGATAGACAAGGATAACAGAGGAAATATGGAGCAATCCTATTGGTGGAAGAAGTGATTGCAGAGGTTTAAATAATAGATTAACTAACAGCATCTCACGAGAGACCGTTTAGTTTGTCCATCATTTTCCCCGTTTAGTCCTCGCAGTCGCACCCGTTTCAAGCAACAGGATCGCTCCATTTTAAGCGCGCTATCTGCAATATAGCGAACAGAGATATGTGGTTTAGCCATTTACCTAATGATATGAGAAAAAATAATGAATGTACTCCAAGGGCAGCCGTATGTATTTCGCAGGCAATTCGTAATTGCCGGTGAGTCATACAATCTATTTTTGTGAAAGAAAAAATTTAAAAGTTCAGAAATAAAGATACATGATAGGATGTACATATTAATATGATTTTAATTCAAACAGACCCCCCCCCTCCCACCTTGAATGCATGATACTAGTAGCAGACTCGCGGGTGCGTGTAAAGAAAGCAAGTAGTGACCTTAGTTGTATTTAGTTCCGATAGGCAACTAAACTAACTTCCTAGCAAAGTGGAGAGTATCACCGAGGTTTGAAGGCGCTCCACGCCAATCAAACTTTCACTATGTCGATGCAAATTATTTTAACACGCATACCGCTTGCAAATTGGTGGAGTCACTCTTTAAACTATACCAATTCCATTTTATTTTCCAATCAACAAACAGAAAATTGAAATATTTTTTGATTTACACAATATTTACACTAATCCTGTATTCAATAACATTACAACAGCTGGATGAGATAAATCAATTATTCCTACCCCATATGAGGAACAAGTTACTATGGTTCTATCAGGAAGTTGAGGAGTGTGAATCACCACCACCTGTAGACACGGTATGTGGTCTATTTTTTTCTTTCTTAAATAAACTACCGCAAACTAATCTATTTTATAAAAGTATCAAAGGGATGGATGATCTTCCGCAACTAATCTGATCGAATGAATTAATTAAACTGAGTCTGCTTAATATGAACGCTGCCATGAGAGCTGCCATGTCGCTCAAACCATTATGTACGTATTTTGCGCGCCACTTGTGAACTCCCCGCTTTTTTGAAAATTGGCGCGTCAATTCATAAGTTTTGTAGGGAGCAGCACTATAAATTGGCGGGAACCAATGAGAGCAGAGATTGCTTTGTTTACTTTCGCTCAAAAACAAAAAAAAAGCATGGTCGATTTTCCTTGTTATCAGGTCGACTTTCCACTTTCCCAGTTTTTTATTGTATGTGTACTCATAGCATTCTTTTAATAAACTACATCCCGGTTATTTGAATCATGTACATTGTTCGGAGGTCATAGTTTTTGGTACCACCTTCGAAAAATTGGGTTTGTAAAGCTACACAATTTCATCATTCTGCAGAACATTCAAATTCGTTTATTTCTTATCGTAAATTTCATCTCTATAATTCATAGATTTTAGCTCGCCTCCTCCTGAGTACTTAGTTAAATCATGTCATTCAATACCCATCAAGATCTGCGTAATAAAGTACTCATTGAAGTAAATTTCAAGCAAAGTACTTACAAACTAGCGGATGACAGGTGTGAAGTATGTACCCTTCACATCATCAAGTATTTTGGCAGAATATATGCTATTGCCAGTAATATGTTTCCACTTTTTAAGGCTGCGACGAAAGCTCCACCATCTTGCTTCTTGCATTTAATTCAGTGATGTCAGGCGATCTTTTGTAGCAGTCTAGTAGTGCGTAAACTTATTTGGCAAGAACTCTATTGGCATGCAATACGTCATGTTTTGTAGGTATGAAATGGGTTATTAGGTACGAATTCCCTTGATTTTTTCTGTTGTTTGTTGCGGATAATGTCTCAGATCCAACATGAAGAGTCCCAGTTCTTATTCTTATTGTTGGGGTCTAATAGTTGAGACATAGTTCTCTAACTGCACTTCAGTACCTAGCTCATAGAAAACTTGACTTGCTCAGAACAATGTAGGTAACTACTGATGGTGCATCTCTTAATATCATTGATTATCCTAGAGCCTACCATTATCCCCCAAAAAAATTTTAATTCAAAACTTTGTTTGAAACAAAGGTACTGATTCTCTTCTCAATTTAAAAACCACCTCTTCAGGAAATTAAGTAACGAAGGAAAACATAATTTATCATTCCTGATATGAGAGAGATAGAGAATCCAATTCTCATAGGGTTTCACCTTTTTCTCCTGACAGTAATTTGATCAATCAAAGAATAGTAACTGTGGTAATTTTTCATTTCAAGATGCTGTTCAGGTCCTTTGGGGATCAAATTTAATCCAACTTCTTTTTGTTGCAGACAAAATCTCAGTCAAACAGGCTAGCCTCAGTGCTCCCCAAATTGCAGGGGTCAGCAGTTGCAGCTCACCCGAAGAAGAAACTTTTTTTGACTGATGGCTGGCAAGTTGAACTGACTGGCATTGCCATTTACATGTTCCGTTTGAATACTGGCAAACAACTTCCTGAGGAAGGATTTCACAAGGTATAAGTCATGAATATTATATATGTTGAGCAGTGGAATGAATTGAACAATAAGTACGTTTGCAGAGATCAATTATCATGTCTGATTACGGGCGAAGAATACTTACCTACTTTGGAGAAAGAACTACAGAAAATTCATTAGGGAGCCCTAAAATGTTTCAATTTAGAAATTGGAATTGATAATCAAAGTGGAAATAATTTTCTTTCATTGCATTAATTCAGAACTTCCGGTCCTAATTAATTTTTTCAAATAGAAATAAGTAAGCTAATTTTAGAGCTAGAAATGCTTGCAGAATATTTTGCCAACAAACAGACAAAAAAAAAAAAATTGCGGAAGTTTCAAGGGAATTATGTCTAGTTCTCCAAATAAAAAATGAAGAATAACAGGAAGTACATAAGGTCGCAAACCGAGGTACAGGATCTACTAGTTTCATCTGCGATAAGAGATGGTAATATGACACCTCCTGCTTTTTTGTCCAGGATTTATTTTGCGGCATAATTGATGGAGCACAAATTGGTCTTGTCACGTCAGTCCAACGCATTATGGAGTGTGTTTTTATGGAGGCCTTGGCGCATCCTGCATTTGATGAGGATGAAGAAAGCAGTTGTCCAATGCTCAAAAATCAATTGTTACCAGGACTACGATCTTTTTGCAGTGCACTGAAAGGTATATTCCTCAAATATCATCATTTAAAATTAATTTCAGTTAATTCTCAGATTTTTTGTTTTGATGCAAGAATGCACTTAAATTAACAATGATGAAGACTTTACCTTGCTGGAATTTCCATAGCTTTTTCAAATATCAATAAATTGTAATGACATTTTTAAGGATATTCTTTAAAGGCATGATTTACGTGTGTTTTATGTTGTTGTCTATAGTATCAATGCTTCGAACTTTTAATCGAGTTTTGATTTTATGTTCAGTTTGTGAAGAAGTTTGCGATGAACCAAACATTTTTGATGACGGCTTAGTGTTAATGGAAAGTGTAAACTCTATTAATGAAGCAAAAGTTTTGGCCAAGGATCAAGATCAAGTAGCTGCTTTAGAAGAGAGGGTCATCAATTGGATGAAGAAAGTCCAAGAGGTAGATTATTATACCAATGGAGGCATTTTATAATTGGACTTTTTTTAAAGCAGGATTAAAATATCAGCTGTAGTCACTTATTAAAGCTTTAAGTAATTAAATTAATACTTTTAAAGGGGATTTTGAACACTAAGTTCTCATATGTATACTTTCAAAGATTCTAAAACTACCTCATTATTAACTGTACAACGGCTTTTCCAAAAGACCTTTTGCATGTTGCGCTGTTGAATTTCCCCTCTTTTTTTTGTATCAAAGAAAAAGAAGAAAAGACTGATCTATTGACTTAATCTTCATTTTCAGGAATTCTCTCTCAATCCAAGAAAAACCTATAGACTTCATGGTATCAATATCTCAGTATTTTTACAGCCGTATCCTTCAATTTATTTTCCCCTATGTCTTAGGTTCTGATGGAGAGTGAACAGCTACGTAAAGAGAATGACTCAAGTGGTCCCCAGGATGAATTGGAGTACTGGAAGAAAAGAGGAGCTCGTTTCTCACAAATCGTCATGTACCTGCAAGACAAAGAGGTATTTCTTTAAACAAGCTTTGAAATTATATCCTTTCACCACTTCAAATACCTTACTTTAACCCAGGTTGCCGTTTAAAGTTATTTATGTTTCCCTTATTTTTTTTTTAATTACTCGTTTCAGCTTCACAGGAACTGGTGTACTATGACATTCAAGTGCAATGATCTTTTCCATAATCACTTGTGTATTCTATTAAAGCCAGATATCATCTCCTTCTGTGTGATTCCTTCGATAGTAGCATAATACCCTCCCCTTAAAGATGAAGGATTCCTATAATCTTAACTAATTTAAAGAGTGAATTTTTATCACTTCATCTTATTTTTTTGTATCGCATGTATCATTTTTTCATTAGGAAAGAAAATTGAAGGAAGCATGCTATGCAGTTTACTTTCTGTGAATAAAATAAAGAAATGGAGGAGCAAGATAGCAAAAATTAATTCTACAAAAATCAGTCACTGTCCAGTTTCTAAGGCATCGAAGTTTTGTTGATCTTGGAATTTTTAGACAGTAATGCACACTTTGGCTCTCTTTTTGAGCGTACCTACACCTAACATTGGTAAGATCAAGATAAAAAGAACTGTTAAATGCATTTGTAGTGGATTAAAGCGGTCAGCATATTTTTGAATGATGATACCTTGTTAACATTGAAAGTGAATACTTAACATTAGGATAAAATTTGTTATTCTTGACCAATCTATTTTCTTTTTAGTCACCAAATCAGAATTATACAATTCATTACGGGCTTTTTCAACTGTCAATATGTTCTATACGTATTTCATTGATATGACTGATGTTTTCTGACATTTCAGGTACAAATGACCCTGCAATGTCTGTTGATTTCACGTTCAAAAGTCATAAAACAGTGGCGCGAAACTGACATGAAAATAACATTTTGTTATAATGAAGCACGGGACAATGCAAAGTTCATACAAGCCATGGAAAAGTGTTGTCATTCTCTATATTTGCAAGATCCTGTGAGTACCTTTTTACCCCAGAGTTTAAGTATAATACAATCCTGGTTATTTTAGAAATAGGAGGTCTATCATTTGATCATGTTTTAATATATTATGCTCTTTTGATTGCAGGTTAGATTAAAAGATTCAGTTTTAAGTCTTCTTCAAACTGTTCGGCTGATTCATAGTGTGTCGCAATATTACAACACTTCTGAAAGAATATCATCACTCATGGTTAAGGTAAGTTAAGTTATAGAAGTTTTTGCACCCATTTTAAATAATTGCAGTGTTTCAAATTGTCCAATTATGATCCATTTTGCTTCAAGGATAACACATTAAAATGTTTCCTTGCAATTTTTTGTAACTTTTTTGTCATGAGTGTGAAGAAAATTCACAGAAAATTTCAACAGAAACTGTCAGTGAGTTTACCTTTAAAATGTAATAGAATATGAGTGGAGACTGATAACGTCCCAATCTGCAACACATATTTGTTTACTTTAGTCTTCAGTATTTTTCAATATGTCCAAAAAACTAGGGCCTTTTCAAAAGTTAGTTTTCTCAGTTTATTTTTCCAAAGTACATATGAACGAGAATATTCCGTATTGAGAAGAAAGCTACATTGATCCTCTTATCTTCTGCTCCGTAACAAGTTGAAGAGGGTAAAAATTGGTGTGATAGATTGCTGACACAGTAACCCCTACTGAGCCAACCACCTTTTCATGTGCGCTTGGATATGAACAAGTTGAAAATAACCTAAAATAACAGCTGAAATGCAAATGAGCGCAAGGACAAGTACGAAATAGCTTTTTTCACACTTCGGCACAGTCTTCTCTTTTGTCTAAATCTCCTTATTCTGTTTCCCCAGCTTTCTGGTGTCTCATTAGTAGTTTTACCACCAGCAAAAGCAACATAAATTAAATTACACGATTAATCTTATCATAATTATACTTTAATGGGGCATTTAAATATTACTGAATCGTTTCTTTCATTTTTATATTTTGACCATGTAATCTACATTTTCCACCATTTTTGAATCAAAGATTTCTTTGCTTTTCAGATTACAAATCAAATGATAGAAACTTGCAAACAATACATAACTTGCCGTGGGCAAGAAACAATTTGGACACAAGATAGGAATGAAATTCGTCAAAAACTTTATGATTGCATTCGTTTGAATAAGTTTTACCATAATACCTACACCTTAATAAAAAATCAGCCATTTATACCAAATCAATCTAGATTTGGATTCTCAGAAAATTATGTGTTTGGAAAATTTGATGCCTTCTGTGATCGACTCAGCAAGATAATTTCAATGTTTGACCTAGTTGATGATTATCATTCATTATTTGAACGGCGAATGGAAGGTAGTATTTTCCTCTTAATTCGTTGATGTTTCATGTGTCCTAGCATCATCATGGAAATTCTCTACTTTTCACTGACTCTTTTGCTACCATATTTATCAGTTGTAACATTTTTATGTCAAGATTTTAGACTCGGATTAAAATTAGCTCTGAAATCATAATAGATTTTTTGCATTCTTTCTGATAGCTAAAATCTAGAACCATATGTCTAAAAAATTAGCAGCTGATTTTAATGACTCTTTTATGAAATAAAAGTCACTGAGCTCACGTCTTTTCATGAAATTTTAATACTGAAAACGAACGTATATGGGTTTGTAACAAGATATTATAAATAATGTACCTAAGATTCCTAATTCGAAAAGCATTAACCCTGGGGCTCACCCACTTTCTGTCCGCTGGAGAAGGTATTTTGCAGGTTTCCTCAATTTGAATTCTACAAGCATATATTTCTCCTTTTTTGAGTGAGAGCTATCAATTTATCTCAAGCAATAATTAGCAGTTACAAAAGTAATTAGTAATTCCTGAAATAACCAGGAGGAATTATTACTGTTGACGTAGCGTTTTAGTCTCCTTGTGGATGTAAATGTCATTTTCTTTCTGCCGAATTGCACAAAAGAGCATTTGAAGACAGTTTTCTATATGTACTATAAAATGTGTACTGATCTTGAAGCTGGAAGCATGCTGAACTTGAAGAGATCAGTTTCTTTTTTTCATTTTTTCTAAGGAAAAATTAACAAATACCCTCGCTTATATTTTGCCAAAAATAATTTTAGAGAATACTATTACAGAACACTACTAGAAATAATTTTCAGTAAAAGATACTATTCAAAGTGATTTCTTCTCTATGTTACAGGATTGCTCTTAGGAGAAGGTAATTATAACAAAGTCCGCTTCTGTTTGCCCAAAACTACCATCTTTGCCATCCAACTCTTAATTTTTCATATGCACCAAGGCTTGATCACGGATTTACCCAGAACATTGTCCTCATAACTAAAAAGACAAACCAAGCCTAAACACACTTAATATGTTCTTTTTCAAAACGCTTGATGTAGATTGACCCCTACCATTTAATGACTTCGAATTGAGGGCTAAGTGAATTCCTTGTGGAGGAGCAATGTATGCATCGCTTTTAGTGCAACTTTTTTTAAATTTAATGAAGTAGACCACATTTGGCAATAAGGAACTAAGTATTATCTCTATATCATCCATGAAAGCACCTATCTGCATTGGAAAACTAATAAAATGTATGTTGCCTCTGAAACCAGCCAGAAATATTAGAGCCAATTGTGATCCATGTGATCAAAAGTCTTGATAAGAGATTCTTTGCTGATAATTGTTATGTATTTTGCTTTGTAACTCAGATATTTATTTCAAAGCTGAGCAGATTTTATCTAACCACCATGTAGTAACCATGAACTTATAAAATGCATTTTGTGAAATCATTTGTAATTTTCTTTTTGAATGTAACAAACAGCTCTAGAGGATGCCATGAAAGTTTTCAATGATGCCAAAGCTAGCGTCACATCAAAGGAATATGATTATTTAGATCAGAGAAATGATGAATTTGACGAAGATTTTGAATTCTTCATCGGAAAAACAAATGAGTTGAAGCAAAAAATTGGCACGACTATTGAGGATAACTTTCAAAGTGTGTGGGAAAGTCCTCAAGGCATTTGCTTCTTGACAAGGTTCGAAAAGGTAATTAGTTCCTTATCATTTAATGAACTTTCTATATCTGTTTCTCAAATCTTTGTTTTCTTCAAAGAAAATCCTGTAGGCAACTGTTGGTTACTTTTCCTCCAAATCAATTAAATATGGGCAGAGGTCACCAATGTGGTAATTGAAGATAGCATTTTTCGACTCTAACCGTGGCTATGCTGTTTTTTTAGAACTCTTTATGTATATAGATATGTTCTGTCTAAGAGTTCAAACGTTTCTCCAAATCCTTATACCCTTTGACACAATTTTCCTCCATAAGCTTTTAGCCTAAAACTACTGCCTAAAAATTCATGATTAGTAAAATTTTCCAAAACATATTTAGATAGTGGAAGATCCTCAAGTTGGCGTAGAAATTTACTCATTTTTGAAGCTAGAAATTTTAAAATTTGAATTTTGGCGATCCATTGTGAAGTTCAATATCTCTTGATTGTGCACCTATAAATCTATCTGAGATCTATCAAACAATGTCTCTTGCAGGTTAGTGAAAAAATACCACTGTCTAAGTTGAATGAAAAATATACCCGAGTTTTGAAGTATTGTGACCAAGAAATAGAGAGGATTCTTAAATTATTTCGACAGCAAAAGGATGATCCAATTCTTGCGAGAAACTTTCCTCCTGTCGCTGGTAAACTTAAATTCTGTTTAATCCTCTCCTTCCTCTCTTTGTATCAAACAATTTTTTCTTCCAATCAAAATGTGACGATATTGTCTTGCAACATTTGTTTTATTCAATTGGAATGCTTCCATATAGAACAGAGGGTCTCCAACAAATCCCTCAACTATCAGTTTGAACTGTGATGCCTCAGTGGATATTTTGTCGGCTCTTGACGCTTCACCCACAATTCCAGAGAACGGATGCCATAACATGGACTTCTGAAACTGTTTAAAAGCCCTTCTATTATTGAAATTGATAGACAAAGTAATAGACATAGAAGATATAGGGAACATGGAGCGATCCCATTGGCTTATATGGGTGGTCTTTATTGACCAAGGGGGAAAATGCTGGACTAACTACAGGATCTCTCGTGGGTTGCCGTTAGTTAGTCTATTACCTATCTTCTTTGTCCATTGAAACCACCTGCTTCCACCAATGGGGTCGCTCCATACTCCTTATGTCTTCTTTGTCTATCGCTTTGTCTATCAATTTCAATAATCAGCCTGCTGATGAATATTTTTCTTTTTTTTGGTGTTTGCATAATTTTGCAAGTTACATTACTTGAGCAGGTGCCCTCTCATTATCCTCTTTACTTACTTACTCATTTCTTTGTTTAATTCTGTATTTTTGTGGATATTCATGTTTTTTTTACAAGTAATTAGCTTAAGTGCTTTAATTTGTAGGTCGGATAAAATGGGCTCGCTCCCTTCATTTTCACCTCGAAGATTTAGTGAAAAAAGTGTCAGTCCATCCAGTTCTTAAGACACTTCCACAAACAGCTGAATTAACGCGGAAATACAATTTTGTTGCTACAACTTTGTTGAATTATCAGAGTGACATGAAGAACATTTGGATGAATCACAATGTGAGTTTTACATCAAGTGGATATAATGTTTGAATTTTTTTAAAGTCTTTTGAACTTTCAAGTAAACAACAGCATGTTTGACCCCCTGACCTAATCGCCCTAACCATTTTTGCTGCTGTTTAAGAGAAATTTTACGTTTTATTTAATATCTCCTGCGATTATTGATTAAGTAAACTATAATCTGACTAAACTAACATCAAAAAGTGTAGTTTCTGTTGAAAAAAACTTTTGGTCATCTGACCATACTTGAATCTTTACGAGAAATTAGTCAAATTTTAAAATTCTCAATTTTTTCCAAATTTTAAACAGTTTAAAACAATTTAAAAGAGTTTTGTCCAGTTTTATTTCCTTAACTTTCAAATAATTTTTTCTGGTAGTTTTAGTAAAAAGTTTCTTCAGGAGATTGGAGGTTTAGCAAGCATTTCTGAAAAGTGAACCGATAATTTTTCAGGTCTGGGTTGTTGACGAGTGCTTGAATAAATCGCTTTTAGACATTAGTGATGATTCTGGACAACTTGTTGTGAATTTGGATAAAAGAATCACACTACTCATCAGGGAAGCGGATTGTTTTTATAAGATGGGTCTTCCTGTGCCTGTTGTGACACATACTCTCTATGCTAAACGAGACTATTTCACCCTGGTGACGGATTCCTTACAAGTGAGTCAACTAATTTCAAATTTTGATACTGTTTTTATTGAATAAATTACCAGGACTTGGGTTTTAATGTTCTTAAATGGATTTGTGTTAAAAAGTAACCTCTAGTGTAAACTTGGACGATGAATTGATGATGAAAATTTTTTATTTTGATTTTCAAAAATTTGTAATTTACAGCACATTTGTGTTTCATAGGTAGAGAAAATTGCGTTCACCTGCAGTGAAGTATTGTAGAAATTTTAAAATATATTGTCAACAAGTAGCGCATACATCACTACTAATCCTGGATACTTTGCTAAATAGGAAACGTTGTTATATAAATTACTAATTAGTGCAAGTTTTTAATGCTGATTTGTATACAATGCAAGTTCTATAACAATGACGACTTCTGAAATGACAATTTTTTTTTAAAACCGAGTAAGCCAGCAAATTCTTTTTTCTTTCCATTTTTGGCCATGCTCTCCAAAAAAAGTTGAATTAAGGATCCTTGATTTTGTATGATGATCAAAAGTTTTACTTTAAAATTTGGTCAATTACATTGTTACAGTTTTTATTGAACCAAATTTTGAAGTCTGTAAGAAGAGTAAAATTAGAAGTCCGGCCCCTGTTTTTGCCACAATTGATGCACCTAGTAGCACTTCTACAACCAGGATTGCACAGCTTATCATGGACAGATCGGAAATGGAATGAGTTTGTGAAAAACACCTCAGATGCTATTCGTGACTTTGATGTCTTAGTCACTCGGTGAGATGAATTGATAATGTACCAGCATATAAATTCATCGCTAATTAGATTCAACGTATGATTGGATAACACAAGCAGTTGAATATAATTCTGAATGTAGTTTTAAAGGAGCGATACTGTTAAATCAAGAGAAAATTGAAAAACCTTGAAGGAAAAATTGACGAAAATTGAATAAGAACTTACAATGCTTGAATGTACTTAAAAAATTGAATTGTATATACCTGCTGAATTATACTGGTTACTTATTCTATCAGGTTGCCTGCTTCAAAAGGCATTTTATGATACATTTTGTAACACGCTGTTCTCTCGAACAGATTCAAACTAAATGCAAACAGCTGTCTTTATTCTCTCTTTTCTTATTTTCAGAGTTCATGATATCTACACAAATAGAATACTTCAGGTATTAATGTCAATGCAAACAGTAACACTTCATGCATTGCCAGAAGAAGAGCCATGGACAGTAGAAGAGTTTTTGCAGCAGGCACAAATTGCCTGTAGGAATGCTGCTTTGGTAATAATTTCTAATGTCTTTTTCTTTGTGTAAATTCAATGAGTGCTTTGAGAATTTTGTGCTGTTTTCTTTTATCTGCTTTTTTCCAGATCGTCAGTTGTTATGTTGAGTTATTTTTTCGCTTTACCATGAGTCCTTAACAAATTTTTCATTGCCATCAATGATACAGCCATTGTCAGTACCGTCCTCAAGAGAGATAACTTCCTATTTTGTTTTTACAATCATCTCCCTTTTCTTCTTTATACATTGCTGAAATTCGAGACTCCTTCCACTTCTTCAGGATCTTTGTACTTTTAATCTATTAATCAAACAATTCCCACAGATGTTCGGTCCCCCATACTAACACCATTAGTAAACAAATATGATTCTGAACAAAATGTATCCCCATGGTTACAATGTAAAAAAAGTGTTTTATTTTTTCCCGGTTCTTTACAGGAATTGAATAGAAAGAGTAAGATGGTGGAAGAAGCCGTCGAAGAGGTTCTAGAGCTTGTGCGAAAGGCAGCTGAAGCACACAGATCAGCTGATGGGAATGATATTTTTGACCTTGTTCTGAATGGTGTGTTAAATTTAAAAATCATCTCATATCTTTTGACTAATTCTCGTTCATCAATAACGTAATAATCTGAAAACAGAATATAAACTAAGAGCACTGATCATAGCGATGGTGAAATAAAAAACTTATTTATGGAACAAAAAAAAAATTGATGTTAAAAATCCGCGCAACAACTCTGGAATGTTGCAAGAAACTCTGGGTATTAAAGGCACATCCTTGCAACCTTGAATCAAAAATCAAAATTTTCACATCAACATTCCAGAGTCGTAGGCGCAGATGTTTAGCATCCTAAGATGTCAATCTATGATTTTTTTTTTATATATTGATAAGAACATAAACATTGTAAAGACTCTACTCCTAAATCTTAATCCTTCCAAGCCATCTAAACCCCGGTTGCAGGTTTAGTCATAATTTAAAGTCCAATTCACACTATCAAACTTTTCATCCAACTCTTAGATGCATCTTGTCAAATGAAAAGTTGGATAGTGTGATACTCACAAGAGAAAACGACAATTTGAAGAGAAATTGGACGGAAACTTGAATGTGACGTCACATTCAACTTTTTGAAAAGTTGGAACGAAATTTTCAGACGGACATGAGCGGAAGCTGTGTCTTTGCAAACTGCAGGCTGATGACGATATCATACTGCAACAGTAATTGAATCAAATTTTTTTCCATCCAACTTTTCGTTCAATTATGTCAGATGCAAAGTTTGATAGTGTAAATTGGGCTTTACTTAATGCAGATTTAATGACCTCTCTCTTTCCACACGTAAAATACACGGGTTTCGTCACATAGAATGTATGTTCTGACAATATTTTAAAAAAAGAAAAAACCCAACAATTGGGTTCTATGCCAATCAAATCGATCGTCTTGATGAATTTCTGATCATAATTCATCCTCAAGTTGTCCACATTATGCATTCATTAAGTACCTATTCTCGTGGTTATAGGTGTTGAGGAGGCAGGAAGTACAACAGGGGGAGCTGGAGGAGGGAATGTGACACCAGCCAGTCAACAGCAACAACAGGACTGGTCAGCTGTCTGGGAGTTCTTTGAAAACCCTTGCTCACTCTTACTAGGAGGTGGAGTCTTGTCCAAGTCTATGCAAGAGGCTGTTTGTAATGCTATCTCCGAAATGAGACGATACTACAGTCGCAAAGTTGTAGATGTACTCATCCGAGTCACCAGGTCCTCATTAGAATGTCTCCGTAAACGATTTACCTCTGAGCAAGGTTAGATTTTTTTGCATCAAGTTTATCAATTAATTAAATATACCAATGAAAGTGTCAGGTTTGAGGCTTGTCTGGAAAGTGTCGATATCTTAGATTTTACTCAATGTCAGAGTTTGGACTTTGTCTGTATCTTTTGCAATGCAGCAAGGTGACAGGATTTTGACATATGTAACCAATCATTCAAGAGAACTGGTTAAAGTGTGTGTATCAAAGGCCATTGTTACGTATATTTTTTTGTAAAAATGACCTAAGTGTGAAAATCACCAAATCCTCTTTTACTTTTGCTTCAAACTAAGAAAAACTGTCGTAGAAACCATTGAGTAAACCGTTACAACAGCCTGATATAATTTAAGTTGTGCCTATTTGACGAGAATTTAAGAAAGTGTATCGTTTAGTTTTTTGTTTAAAAATTAAACATCAGAAGAAATTAGTTATCATGAAAAGCGGTTAGGCTGATTCTGCTGAATGTCATAACTTGAATCTCTCAGTTTGAAAACGACCCATCTCAAAAAAATGAAATTCTTCAGGACGCGATACTGACATAACAGCCAGAAAAAGAGTGTTTCTATGCAAAAAAATGAACATCTTAAAACACCCTAGTTAGGTCGTTTTCAAACTGAGAGATTCAACATTGAGAAAAAAGATTTTTGCAGGTTTGAAAGAAGCTAATTCAGTTGTGAATACATTTTTACATCAAAATCTCTTTTAATTTGATTTGCAATTAAAAAACATCATTATAGAAAACGTTTATTTTATAAATTGAAGGTGGACCTCCTGTCTTCATCCTCCAATCTCACTTGATGATTCCGAATGTAGTTGTCAAGCCCAGTCTGGAAGAAGTCCAAGAAGCCCTCATTGCAGCAGGAAAGCACATTAGTGGAGTGGCGAAAGGGGTTAGTCAGTGGACAGCAGGCAAAGCAAGACAGGTAAGGGTTGAAAAGCAATAAGTCTGCATTGGTCGGCGAAAAGTGGGATCGCACCTTATCAGTTATTTTAAATTGCTTATTATGAAAAAGGCAGGGTATCACGCCCCGCAAACATTTTAAGAAAATCTTTGAGACTTCCTCAACTTTAAATCTTTTGAAAACTTCATTGAGTAGAGGGATTTCAATAATCACCCAGAACTGTTGTGGAGGTATCAGGGTAAGTCAATTTCCTAGGAATGTTACGAAGTTCTGTCCTGGCTTGTGTGATTAAATAGTCCATGTGCTGAAAGTTGGGTTTCCATCTGATCTGATTTAATTCCATAATTTCAAAGATGAATGATACAGGGTTGCCACAGTCATAGAATACCAGGAAATCTCAGGAAATTTTAAAAGTCAGAAAAAACTTTGAAACGTCAGGGAAAATGATGTAAAGGTCTTGAAAATTTTTTTAAAGTCACCTACAGTTGCTCTCTAGAATGGGTTTGATGTTTCGAACAACGGATTTTGTAAGAAAATGTTTTCAGATTATGTCTCTTTAATTGTCTGGGAAATTTACTAAAATGTTTCAGATGAATTGGGAAAAAGTCAGGGAATTTCATTTTCTAAATTTTGTGGCAACCCTGGCGATTTTATTCTCCTCTTTGTAGTTTCCCTCTGATCACAGCTGCCTGAATCAGTGAATTCACATCACTCAAGTAGTAATTTAGTACATTACTATATTTTCTGGATTTTCTCTGACTTTCAACTTTTTCGTTTTCTGTTTTTCTTTGATTACTAATTTTTTTTCTCTTATCCATGTTTTCTCCAACTGTCCTCTTATTTGACGTTGTCTCTTTGCCCTAAATTGTGTCCCTGTTATATCCTCTTGGCGAATCCCTTTTAGCCACCGTCTAAATGGACTCGAATAGGCAAAGTTGAGCCCATCTCTAACACTGCTTTGACTTCAGTTGTATCTAATCTTGATCAGGAAACTGGTGGGAAAGCATGGCCTAATGTCAGCGGAGACGCAAAAGCACGGAGGCGAAAAATGTATCGACTGATTTCCGAGGACAAGCCAAGTTTCCCCCTCCAGTCACGGAATTTTTTCAATCATGTAATGGAAAACAAAGAAGTAATGAAAGCTCTATCTTTACTCTCCATTAGCTCTCAAAAAATAAAACCAGTAAGTAAGGCTGTGCGGTATTTTCACCTACATATTACATTTTCCTGTGGTCTTTTTTTTTGCAGTCTCTCCGCAATGTAGAGCAGTTTTTTATCCTAATTTCTCTCAATATTCTGTTGCTCTGAGGATTTATATCATAAAATTTACCATCCTCATCATTGAAAAAAATTATGTTTTCAATAATGAAGATAGAAATCCGCTGTACATATATATTGATACGTTTAATTTAAATACGACCTTCTACATTTACAAGAACAAGTTCATAAAAATGAAACTCCAAATGCCTACTTTTTTTAGATAAAATTCTAGTGATTTCAAGACACTGTAAGCAGAAAGGCATCCGTGAAAGGTACAGGGTATGCATTGTTGCATGTCCGAACTAAATAATTGAAAGAATGTGCTAAATCAAGAGTGAGTCATTTAATTTAAATTCTAACATTTTACGATCCATCCATAATCGGACCATTTGCCCTCATGCAATTGTTAAACTGAAAAAGTTTCGCATTTTTTCCAGCAACCTATCATGTTTCAGCAAAGCAAAGTAATTTAAACATATTTTTTTTTGTTTATTTAGTTCGCCTAAAGTAACGAAAGAAAATGTACTTTGTGAAATTAATTTTGGTAAGCAGCAAACTTAGACGTTGCGGCGAAGAAAAATTTTGTCACACGTTTCACTAGTTGCAAAAATAGCTTCTTTTAATGCACTCATGATGCTGAAGACATTCAATTAATCAGAATGTTTATTTCTTCCCTTATCCTAAAATAAGTGTAAGTGGCAGCAGCCAAAACCGGTCTTTAGTGGCAGCAATGGAAGCTTTCTGTAAGCGAGGATAGCAATTTGGCAAGTGCATTTGAATCATGGACAGATGAAGCATCAAGCTCCGGAAACGAGTCTGAAAACATTTGGACCTATCAAGTGAGGTGGCTTTAATTCAAGTCCGACTCCTTGTGTACTCGTGTGGTATTTTGACATCGTCACTAATCCAAGTCTTATTCTATTTACTCTAATTTGATGTATAGGTCATAACAGAGTTCCTTGAAAGCTGGTCTCCGTACAAATTTTTATGGGAAAATGTTATGAGTAAGAAAGCAGCTCATACCATCGGACTAGTTGAGGCAGAGGCTTCTCTTCGTAGACACAATGAGCTGGAAAGTGAATTGAATATAGTTCCTGACTTGTACACCTTTCGATCCTGTCTGGTTGTATCTGTAGGTAAGAATCCATTTAATTATCAATTATCTCATCCTATACTTTCATGGAACCATTAGATGATGCTCAGAACTTTTTGTTGCCAATTGTCGTCACATTTTTTTCCCTCTTTCAGAAAATTTTAAAAAAATCACAGTTTGATAAAGATAGCATAATTTTATATTTAAATATAATTTTCCCAAATGGACAACTACCTTCCAGAGCAAATCACTGGTACCTACTTGAGTTCATCAACTGGGGCCATTTGCGATTCATTAATTCAATGATTGGTTTTTTTCAAGCCCATGTTTGACGGTCTTTCTGATGCAGTTAGCGGCTTCATTTTACCTCTGACTCTTCACCCCAGAGTCAAAAGGTACCTAACCCCATTTTAGGTGATTTGAGATATCAGGGGATTACCTTGCGTCAGCCTCATTGATTTCAATGTAAATCGCAATTTTTGCGACTCAGTACTCCCGTGTGAGATAGAGCTACTAAATTTTCCACCCACGCGGAACTGTTTTTGGAGATTTCTAAAACGCCACCAACTCGATTTTTCCAACAATGTGAGTTAGCTATCCTCTGGCTCTGGAGCACTGATATAAACTAGAATATTACTGAGCATTTTTGTCTCTCGAGTTCAAATTGCAGATTATGTAGTGCAGTTAAGAGCTCCATAAGTCAATAGTGCGCCTTTTGTTTTTATTTCAGAGAAACTAAAATTTGGCCTGTTGACGGAAATAAAAACTTGTAATCATAGATTAGGGAACGCGTTGAAAAAAAAGTTTCATCGTGAAATGGACTATGTTTATGCTGTGATAAATGAAATGGACCGAAAATTAGACAAGCCAATTAGAGATTTAGACGATGTCCGCTTAATCATGGAAACTCTGAAGAAGATCAGAGAACAAGAAGTAGACATGGAATTGAAAATTGAGCCGATTGAAGTATGCACCAATTTTTTTTTTTAAATTTTTTTGTTGATGTACCTAAAATTAAGCATCCTAATACATATTGTGAAAAATTTTCATCGCATAACATTGATGTTTCATCTTCAAGAAACGTAAGGAATGAAACAGCTCAATATGCTGAAATCATGCTGAAAGAAGGGCAGGAAAAGAATATTAAATAAAATCAAATTGAAAATATTATTTAGCATTTTATTCTTTTTATTGAACGTATATCTTTCCTGCCATCAGGAGATTCACATTCAAAATTGATCTTAAAAAGTAGTCTAAAAAATGAAAATATTTATTGTAAAGGGTTTGATTTTTCTACATCTATTGATAAAAATTCAGTACAAATTCTTTTATACGCATCTACAGAGACAGGAAAGATATTATTTTTCATGTCAAAGCAAGTGGCTAGCTTTGGCTTTTAGTATGAATGTGAGCGCCTAGCTTGAATGACTAATGAAATTAAACAACAATCAGTAATTAAATCAAAATTTTCATCACTAACTATCTCATATCTTTGAGAATTCTTCATCCTGCATCTTTCTTAATAATGGTATTAAAGTTGTTGGTGTAAAGTATTAATGGTCTTATTAAAGTTTACACCGTTCATAACCAACACCCTGATTTTTTCTCTGACTCTCAGGAAGCGTTCAATGTGATCACACGTTATGACTTACCAATTGACCGAGAAGATCTTGAGCAAGTAGATAACTTAAGATATGCATGGCAACGTCTTCTTGCTCGAGCAATGGATGTAAACATCCTTCTATTGACAATGCAACCGCATTTAGAGGCAGATCTGCGGAGAAATCTCGATAGATTCAGGCAGGATAACATTGATTACTGCCACGAGTATCGTACCTCTGGGCCTATGGTACCTGGATTGTCTCCAAGAGAAGCATCTGATAGGCTAATACTGTTTCAGGTATGCTGATTGATATTAGTTGGCGTATTGCCAATTAATTGGTAGCGCCATAGATCAGTATTCCAGGGGGCGGGGGATTTTCTTCCTTCTTTCTCTTAGAATATATGATCAGAAGTAGAGAAAAGTAAAGATGATTGCATATATTAATTTAATGAGGATGCTGGGGTAGGTAAGAATATTCTGAATGTATTTTATTTTTGACAGGGTCAGTAAGTTTAACATATTTTAATATATGTATCCATCAGTATAAAATCTTTCAACCAGCCGGTTTTATGTTCTTGTACATGCATTAAAATTATTCTACTCAATTAGATTTTGAATCCATCATTAATATTTTAGAAGCTTTAGGATGCTTAGTTAAAGAACTTTATATACTTTATTGCGGATATGTTTACTCGATTCCTGTGCAGATATCACCTTTGACATGTGGGCAATTAGATATTTGTACATCTTATTTTATCTAATATAAGTAAGTTCATATCATAATAAAGTCTTTGAAATCTGCTGTCCTCTTCAGTTTTGTAATCACTCAAAACTGTACATAATTATTTTTTTTCAGAATCGATTTGATGGCATGTGGCGAAAATTGCAAACTTACCAGAGTGGAGAGGAGTTATTTGGGCTTCCACAAACTGATTATCCAGAGCTGGCACAAATTCGTAAGGAGCTGAATCTTTTGCAGAAGTTGTATAAACTTTACAATGATGTGATTGACAGAGTCAGCGGATATTATGATATTCCCTGGGGTGAAGTTAACATTGAAGAAATTAACAATGAGCTGATGGAATTTCAGAATCGTTGCCGAAAATTACCGAAAGGATTAAAAGTTAGTTCTATTTTTAATTAATTCAAAATTGATCATACTAACTTTTCATTTATGAGTCTCAACAAATGTAGACTTCTTGAGTTTAGTGATGTGTTAAACATCATTGTGGGGAAAAATCTGTCTTGGAGTTATGGCTGGACATATTCAATTCAGAATCAGCCTAATCGCATCTCACAAAACCTAGTTTCTTCCCTTATTTTATTTTTTCTGAGAAGCATGAACAACGCAATGCCTGGAAACTTCCTATGATTTTGATTGTGATTTTGAAGAGAGATTGGTCAATTGTGACTCATTGTCCGATAGCTCAGAAAGATAAAAATTTTGAGACAAATTGCTTTTCTCCATCTGTCATTGTTTAAAATTAAAATTGTGTCCTTTAGCTCCGATATATAGCCTAAAAGTAGAAAGTTTTAAAAATAAAAAGTAGAAAAAATTTGAGGGTTAAAATACACATGAATAGACAGTTTTTTTTCTATGGATTCAGAAATTTAAAAATCTGTCAATCCAGGTGAAAGGAGCATTACTTTGTAAAACTGAACTTAATTTTGCAGGAGTGGCCAGCCTTTCATGCTCTGAAAAGAACAATCGACGATTTTAATGATATGTGTCCGTTATTGGAATTAATGGCAAATAAAGCAATGAAACCGAGACATTGGCAGCGAATCATGGAGGTAACAAAGTACACTTTTGAACTCGATAGTGAAGGTTTCTGTCTCAAAAATATACTTCAAGCCCCATTGTTGAAGTGTAAAGAAGATATTGAGGTAAGTAATAGCGAATCATTAAGAATTTCTTCACATGTTAAGAAATTACCATTGACTGAGATTAGAAGTAAACAAATTCAGCAAAACTATCTATGTAGCAGAGCTTCTTAAAAGAGTTCAGTGAAAAAAACTCAGAATTGACTTATTACTTGGCCAAGCTTGAGTCGTGAGTCATGATGGGTTGAAATTAGCATTTTAAGAACGTAGTTCTGATAAAAATTCTTTTGAAATTTTAAAGATAGATGATCCTAGATAGCAAAATTGTGTTAAATATGCCGGCGCAGCACTGTAAGCCAAATCCGTCTCACAAAAATATGCGCCTGGCATCTCAGTTGGAGAAAGCTTCATCGACTAACCAGCTTTTGTAGAAGCATGCTAATATGTCAGTCAATTAAAAATAATTAAAGAACATTTTTACCTGTTTGATTGATCTCAGGACATATGTATATCAGCAATGAAAGAGAAGGATATTGAAGCAAAATTAAGACAAGTGACAAATGAATGGTCTGTTCATGAGCTGACGTTCATGTCTTTCAACAACCGTGGTGAACTTTTATTACGAGGGGACACCACTGCTGAGACCATCAGTCAGTTGGAAGATAGCTTAATGGTTCTTGGGTCCCTCTTATCAAACAGGTTTTGTTTTTCTTTTCACTATTCGTTGTTTGTAGTAGGGGTGCAGAAAATGCTTGATAACGCCCATGCACGCGTATAATAATGTGGAAGAACCCTGTAAAATGTGTGTGATAAGAAATTTAGTTTAAAGGGTTTAAAATGTAGTGATTTTTAAAACCTATGAGCCTTAATGTGAGCTGTGGATGGACTGAATATTAAGGGCTTATCACAAACTGCTGCATGCTTTAATCCCTGCAATATTTATGAAAAAAATTTTGAACTTCGAACTTTGCTTAAAATTGTGGCGAACACAGGGCAGATTGAAAATAATTGTTGTAAGTTTAAAAATAATTTAAAGCAGTTTTACATGTTTGCAAAAATATCTCTGCCTACGGTACGTACAATAATGCAAGGATTCTATGATGACATAAATCTGTAATTTGCTCTCATCAACATTGCTTAAACTTTTGCAGGTATAATGCACCATTCCGTAAACAAATTCAACAATGGGTGTTTGACCTGTCCAACACAAATGAAATATTAGAACGCTGGCTGCTAGTACAAAACATGTGGGTTTACCTGGAGGCTGTTTTTGTCGGTGGAGACATTGCAAAACAGTTGCCAAAAGAAGCCAAAAGGTAATGCTTCATATTCATAACTAAACAATTTTTTACTTTCTTAATTTCAAGTATACAACTGATTATGATATTGATAGGTGTCAGGGCTTGACATATGCTTTAGGTCAGTTTGCCCTCTCTCAACCGTGGCCTTTATATCATCTTCAAACACCACTCCTTTCGCCAGAAGTTTGTTCAAAAGTTTTTTTTGAGCACTACTTTTCCCCCTGTTTGTAGATGTTTGTCTCTTAAACATTTACAATTTTCGGACATCGCATGTTTTTGTACTGTACAGTTCAGTCATGTACTTTAAAAACCGGGGAAAAAAATGGCACCCATCTTCTTTCAAGGGTGCATTCAAGTTTTTAAATTCTTGTTTTACTCTATATCAAGAATAATATTAAAGACGGATGCTCCTTTGACTCAAAATAGAATATTTACACTTGCTGTTCAATTTCGTCTCCAAGGAGTGGTCACAATTATTTATAAAACAATGAGTACAACATGTGAACAATGAGGGATTTTTAGACAGCGTCCAGACTGGGTACCATCTTGCGGCTCTGTGTTTTAATTTTACAAGCTTTCCTCTTTTTCCTTCCACTTGAAGGCTTCGAAAATCAGTATGTGCCTAAAGCCTTCAAATATCCAAGGATGACAAAATTTTACCGCCACCCCAAGTAATTCATTTTGATAAAAAAAGAGGGGTTTTAACATTATCATTAATATAAAAAGTATTTTCTTAAATTGGAAACTCTTGAAAGTGCATGAAACATATCCTTAAAACAAGGGCTGTTAATTTCCCATTCCAGAATCTTAAAATGCTTTTAATCAATTCTTCTTTTAATCAGAATACGATATATTTTTCCATTGAGAAGGTACTGAGTTACAGGTGCTTGCTTTTAAGCATCTAGATGACCAATTGAAGAAACTACGTTTATTTTCTTACAATTTATCTCTCCTAAATTATTCTTTCTAGAAAGTTTAACAATGTGTTTTATTTTAATGTTGCTATTCTTTCAAGAAACCCACAATGGGGTGTAGATTAATATCATTATCTTTTTACTTTGTCTGTCCCTAGTTTTTCCTTTGTAACCACAGTTTAAGCAACATATTTTTCAATTAAGTCTATTTTTATCCTGCAGATTCAGCAAAATTGATAAATCTTGGCAGAAAATCATGCAGAGGGCTCATGAAACTCCGGGCGTTGTTTCTTGTTGTGTTGGCGATGATATGTTGAAACAACTTCTTCCGCATTTACAAGAGCAGTTGGAACTTTGTCAGAAGTCTCTTAGCGGGTGAGCATTGAAAATAAATATAGTCATAGTCTCCGAGGCATAAAAAGTTTGAAAAGTTTCACTGTATTTTCCTACTTATTTCTTATTGAATAATGAATGCAATCGCGATGGGTAAAGCAGGAACATGTGTATCTCTATAAGAACATTTCATAATCTTTGATTATGTTTCATTGTTTTATAAGGAAACTAATCAAAAAATCTTCTTCAAATTTTATGTGAATATACAAGAGTAAGTGAATAAAAATAGACGATCTCAAGAAAAACTACTGATTAGTTTAATTTTTTTTTTTGACCGCAGGTACCTGGAAAAGAAGCGGATGATGTTCCCTCGCTTTTTCTTCGTTTCGGATCCTGCCTTGCTGGAAATTCTAGGTCAAGCCTCTGACTCGCATACCATTCAAAACCATCTGCTCTCAATTTTTGATAACACCAGATCTGTGAAGTTTCATGACATTGAGTACAACAAAATGACAGCCATTATATCATCAGAAGGAGAAACAATTCAAGTAAGTTCCTAAAAAGGTGTCTAGTAATCTTCCTGAACTCTTAAATATAATTTGGTGCAGGATAGAGTAGTTCTGCGTCTTCCCTTGTCGATTAAGCTAAATTTTGTTGTAAATTTTACTGTGTAGTTTTATTTTATGTATGAAGCAACTTTACATACAGTAGGCCACAGGAGACTATTGACTTTTGAAATGTATGAAAGTTACATCCAATAATTTATCAAAAATTCCCAAACTATAAGGCGTTTTTAAAATACCCCCTTTTTGAATTCTCAGGTGGACTTTTTCTGGAATTCCAAGAACTTGCAAGTTCCCAATGAACATTCATAGTTTATACTAGTGGCAAAAATCATGAGTAAAACTACCGTCACTACAAGTTTTGCTTATTGTCTTGTGAATGGCTAAAGTGGGAAACCACATACATATCTCCTATGTGGTGTCTCAAAATTTCTACTCCAATTTTATTTTTTTTCAAGGAAATGAGCCAACATTATAGCTTGAAATTTGTACAGAATATTCTCCTAACAGAGAGGAAATATCAAGTAAGTCTCAAGAAATTGCATCAACCAGTTTTCCAAAGAAAAAATAAAGTTTAATAGGAAGTCTGCAGCGTTGCAAACGAAGATGCATGGTTTCGCACTTTGGCCATCGATACCTATTATTATTTTAGATGATCAATTTCTCTTATTCATTCAGCTGGAAAGAGCGGTCCGTGCTGAGGGGAGCGTTGAGACTTGGTTGACATCACTGTTGCAAACATCTCAAGCCTCACTTCATTCCATAATCCGGACCGCGTACAGCAACATTAATGATCCCAATTTCCAACTCCTATCTTTTCTAGATAAAATGCCGTCTCAGGTAATATTTTATTCCAACAAATTATGATAAGTAATTTAATCCATATTTTGATCATAGTAATGTCAGATCAACTTGTATTCAATCTTATTTGAAAAGGCTAGGTACTTTTTAGAATGTGAAATATTTTAATTTTGGTATTTACTAAATCGTAAGGACCGTTTTGAGCTTAACGGAACAATTGAGAGAATGATTTGTATATGCAGCAGAGTTTTGATCATCCCTAATCTAATGATCTGAAATGCAGATCATCCTTGATTAACTGATGATGCTTTTCTAACACGTTTAAGGCTTAAGATGAAGAAAAAACAAATAAATAAATGAACAAAAACAAACAAGAAAACATGGGAAAACAAGATTTTAGATAGTAAATTTTTCCAAATAACGATTTTCTGTCTCACAAAATAATTTATTAATTTCTTTTTTCTATCAACATGTTTGTCTCCAATGCTTTCCACATATTTTATAGTGATTCCTCCAGTTTAAAGTCATTGCGGTAGTTTTTCTATCCTTGCTGTCTTATTTTCGATTATCTGAAGTTTACAATTCGCTCTTGTTGCGGATAATTTGATTCCAATCATTGTGGACAGTAGAGGTTTTTCTGTATTGTAGAATGAAAATGTGAGGGCAAGCCTTTCTCCTAATTTTAGTAGCTTTTGTATGACAAAAAAATCCTAGCTTCATGACATTCAAATAATTGGTGTCATCAGTTGTTTACCTTCTGATTACGGATACATAATTTCTTCTTGCTCCTCACTTGCCATATTGTCAACTTTATCCTCTTCGTCCGAGAATTTAGTTTTGTTTATTTTCGTTTTTTTTATTTAGTTTTGACTTCATTTATTTATTTTATTTTGTATAATGCAGCGTGCAATTTCCAAGGAAGCCAACACTTCAAAGATGGAAGTGTGAACTTTTGGAATTCCCATTGGCAAGTAAAAATGTAGCAACAACAAATTTTCAGTAATCAGAAAGTAAACAACTTATCCAAATAATGCATGCTCAGATAAGAAATAAATTTTGTTATTAATAAAATTTTCTTTGTTAAGGTCGGTATTTTAGGAATCCAGATGATATGGACTCGTGATTCAGAGTCAGCCTTAATTCAAGCTCGTTCTGACAAGAAGCTCATGCCGGAAACAAACAACAAATTTTTAGAACTTTTGAATACATTAATTGATCAAACCACTCGTGACCTAACACGCATTGAAAGGACCAAATTTGAAACACTCATCACAATTCATGTTCATCAGCGAGATATTTTTGATATTTTGGTAAGAATATTCAACATCTATTAGGCATCTAACTCTTATGATATGGAATATAGTATCAAGTATTCATTGTGGCTCCTGAAGCAGAACCTTTTATTTTTTTAGGCAAATCACATTCGGGGTGTCCCAAAAGTTTGTACCATTCTCTTAAAATTTTTACAGCTATTACTGATATATTAGACTTCATGAATAATTTATATTCTGAACCAAGTGGATTTTTAAAATTTTGTTTTCATTTTCCAATTTTTCTAGTGTCGTTTGAATGTCCGATCGGTTAATGATTTTGAGTGGTTGAAACAATGTCGCTTTTATTTCAAAGAAGACATGGACAAGACTTGGATTGCTATCACTGATGTAACATTCACGTATCAGAATGAATATCTTGGATGCACAGAACGTTTGGTCATCACACCACTAACTGATCGGTAGGATCATAAATTTACTTACACCTCAGAGAAGATTTTACAATTTGTTGGTTCATTAAATGTATTTTATTATGAGCTAAATTACTATTCTGTTAAAAATCAGCACAAAGCTGAAAATCTCCTGTTCAATTAATTATAATCTGTAAAATTAATTTTGACTCTAATTTTAATTTTTGGAATTTCTTGGCTTTGTTTCCCGGCGAAATGATGTGGACCCAGTACCATTTCTCCACCTTGTTACATACAGTCCGGGCCACTTCATAGTGTTTTTTTCCCATAAGTTTCTAAGTTTAGACCTGTCTTTTTTTCTGTCACCAGGTGTTACATCACCTTAGCACAAGCATTGGCTATGAGTATGGGTGGTTCTCCATGTGGTCCAGCAGGGACTGGAAAAACTGAGACAGTTAAGGACATGGGAAAAACTTTAGCAAAGTACGTCGTGGTATTCAACTGTTCTGATCAGATGGACTATCGAGGCCTGGGAAGAATTTACAAAGGTAAGGCTTTGCCCCTCTTAACTCGTTGATTTATTCAATGGTTTGTTGCAGTAAAAAAGTGAGATTTATTGGTGTTACTCTGATGGCCAAACTGCGAAATGACGTATCTCCGTTTGTGAAGTTGCAGACTTCCTGTTATTGTTTATTTTCTCTTTGGAAAACTAAGCAATGTTTTGTGAAAACTTCATGTGTTTTTTCTATGTTAGCAGTGGTTCCTGTATAAATTTCAAGCCGTAAAATTGGCTTGTTTCTCCTCGGAAAAATAAACTAGGCGCAGAAATTTTGAAACACCGCCATGGAGATACATCGTTTTGCACTTTGGGAGTTGACTTTTATTAATGATAAGAACTAATATTATGAAATATATATCTTATGTGTTTTGGTTTTAAAATAATATTTTAAAGTATAAATAATGGATGCTTCCTTTCCGTTCTCACCTGTTATGCTGATTAGTCACATGGTGTGTGGCCCCAAACGATTAAAGAGCCTAAGGTAACTTTCACAAATTAAGGCCCTGATAAAAGCATATTTTTTAAGTCTGAGTAATTTTAGTCATTTTCCAGCTGATCTCTATACATTTGTAGGAAAAATCAGTAGCAGCTGGGATGATGTCAATCAAGTGATTTCTTAATTCTGTTTTAATGTAATACAACAGAAAATGTTTCAATTTTTTTTATTCGGCCGTTTGTTTTTTCTCCCAGGGTTGGCTCAGTCTGGATCATGGGGATGCTTTGATGAATTCAATCGGATAGAACTACCAGTTCTTTCTGTTGCAGCTCAACAGATAGCTGTAGTTCTTGCAGCTAAAAAAGAAAAAAAGAAGCAGTTTGTATTTACTGACGGTGATATGATCGATCTTTGTTCTGAGTTTGGAATTTTTATTACGATGGTAAATAGTATTCCAAACTTGCATTGCTATTGTCCATGCCATTTCTTTTATTGCAAATCTAGTTTTCTGCATGTGTCAACTTGCTGCTTCTTTTACCCATCTTTGTGGCCTTGTTGCCTTTCACTGCTGGTCCCTAAGGGCTGGCATGGCAGCCAGCAGGCTAAAACTAATCTTGTATCTTAAACTCATTGAAAAAGGAATCAGTTAACCTTACAGAATCCTACATTCCAAATACTATTAAAACAGCAAGTTATTAAACATCTGTTTCAATTTCTTGGCAGTAAGCCTTTGCACCACCTTGGAAGTTTTTCCTAAGATTAAGAAGCTGATCATTCATCTGCTTAAAACTCAAGACTTTTCATGGTTTTCCTCAAAATAAATTTGTATAATGTCTAAATTTAGATAATCTAATATTTTTTTCTCTTTTTGGTGAAAATTAATCAATACATACCAATATTTCTTTTATTTTGCTTTTCCAAGAACCCTGGATACGCAGGACGCAAAGAACTACCCGAAAATTTAAAAATACAATTTAGAACAGTAGCCATGATGGTTCCTGATCGGCAAATTATCATCAGAGTGAAACTCGCAAGTTGTGGTTTTCTTGAAAATATTACTCTTGCTCGTAAATTTTACACCCTGTACAAACTTTGTGAGGAGCAACTCACCAAGCAGGTGAGCTTAATCTTTGTTTCACTTGACAGTCATTTAAGTACTATTTTTATGTGATTTTATTTTTTTTTATCAAGGGATTATAAGTAAAGTTGCTCACAGTAAAATTGAACTAAGAGTTGTCACATGGATCATGTTTTTTAGTGCATGCACTTGCGGTATATCGATGGCCAAAGTGCAAAAGCATGTATCTCTGTTTGCGTTAGTTGTTTCACTAGGAAGGAAATAAACATCCTCAATCCATAAAGTAGCTGTTGAGCTCTCAAAAACTAGTCTATATCCTGCGAGGTAAAAAAAATCTTTTAATTGATCTTTTGATGGGCTTTTTTAGGTCCATTATGACTTCGGTTTGAGAAACATTCTATCAGTTCTTCGAACTCTAGGAGCTGCTAAAAGAATCAACTCAAAAGATTCAGAGTCAACCATCGTCATGAGAGTGTTGCGTGACATGAATCTTTCAAAACTCATTGATGAAGACGAGCCATTATTCATTTCCTTGGTTGCGGACTTGTTCCCGAATCAGGTTCTTGAGAAAACATCATATCCACAGCTTGAAACTGCCATTGCTGAGCAAACAGAGCAAGCCGGTCTCATTTATCATGCTCCATGGGTACTGAAATTAATTCAGGTATGTGCTTTTCATCCATGTTAATATTATAAAGGTTGTCATTAAATGATCAAGATTGATCATACAAATTTTGTCCGTAAATATTTACAATTAGGTTTTAGTATCACAATAACATAAAATGTAAGACTAAAAAATAATCAATATTATTCGTTATAAATCTATTTATGTTTGACTTGTTCTAGTTGTATGAAACGCAGAGAGTCAGGCATGGAATCATGACTCTGGGTCCGGCAGGAGCCGGAAAAACAATGTGTATTCACATTTTAATGAAAGCACTGACTCTTTGTGGAGAACCACACAGGTAACCTCTTTTTTTACCGAAATATCATTTTTTTATAATTTCTACATTCCCCTTATTTGAGAGCTCTAGTGATTGGCTGTTCAATGGCTTAAAAAATTAAAGTGGAGGCAAAGTGCTAATGAGGACTACAATTGGATTGAATTTAGCAGAAAAGAATCAGCGCGATTACAGTGTTATAAAATTCGTGCATTTTCATTTAAAAAATTCTCAGCATAAAAAATAGTTTTTGCTTTCCCCCTATAAAATTGTTAATTTTAGAGGAAAATATTTCAAGATTTTAATATAGCACATACGCATATTTAGTATTTTCAAAGAGAACAAGAAGTTACACAATTTTGAAAACATTGTAATTTTGAAAACACTGTAATCTTGCTGATTCCCTTAAGTTAAGTGCGATCCAATTTTGATTCCAGGTGCATGATAAAATTAGGAAGAATATAAGCATTGATGAGCTAAAAATTGGATGGAAAGCTAATCAGTATGTACATAATAATTAAAGGCAAGATTTGCAATTCACCTCTTCTCAGCTTATTAGGCGTGTGGAACTGAAGTCTTTCAGAATTTGATAAAGGAAGAAAAACTGAGTGAAATAGATAAAGAAAAGCATACAGAGGAAAGGAGTTTGTTCGTTGGGTCCAATATAGAGATTCTCAACGGCAGGTCCCAGGTGCCTCACTTTCTTTATAACCTCTCAATTCTAAAACCAGCTGGAACCTGGTTTTCATGTCTTGCATTATTAGTGAATGTCTTCCAATTTTTTTTACTGTATCTTTTGTTTTAAATTCAAACAGAGAAATGAGAATGAATCCAAAATCTATAACAGCTGCTCAGATGTTCGGGCGACTAGATGTTGCTACCAATGATTGGACCGATGGCATATTTTCAGCTCTGTGGAGAAAAACCTTAAAATTAAAACCTGGTACCCAGACCTTTTTCTTTTTCATATTTCGATATTATATTAACAGATTTAGAATATTTATTCGGCCGTCTGATGTAAGTTGAAGCGGTTCAAATTTTTCATTCAAGTCAACAATGAACCTTTCAGCAAGTCCTATTGGAAAATAGTTGTAAATATCAAATCACTTTTTAATCATTCAATTGGAAAGTATCACCTACTTTAAAAAAATGAATAACTAAAAATCCCTGCTAGGATTAACTTAAAATATCTAGCACTAATCATTTTTATCAACAAAAATTACAAAATTTCTTTCATAAAAATATCATTTATCAGACAAAATTTAATTACAATTGTAATATTTTTCAATTCTGACAAAGATTCGAACTCAACTTTTAAAAGGCTCCTTGAAAATTCCTTGACTTGTGATCGATGTCATATCCTTGTGTCATCAATTGTACTTACAACCTTCTTAATATGTTTCTTTATCTACATTTATTGCTGTCATGTCTGTTGAACTAGTTTGGTATGAATTTTTTTAAGGTGAATACGTTTGGCTCGTTCTTGATGGTCCTGTCGATAGTATTTGGATCGAAAATTTAAATTCTGTTTTGGATGACAATAAAACTCTTACTCTAGCTAATGGGGATCGTTTACCAATGGCTGCAACTTGCAAAATTATTTTTGAGCCTCACAACATCGACAATGCGTCTCCAGCAACAGTATCTCGGAATGGAATGGTAATCCTCTTATAAAGTCAATGAATGTCATTTACATGGTATGCCTTAGCGTCTTGACACCGACTCCAAATAAATGAAGTTAATGATCTGCGGATCGCTTGAGCTCAAAGATTATTTTCATCGCTTTCCAAAGCAACCCTATTGAGCCCATTCGGTCAAGAATTTGCTGATTTACAGCGTTTTATAGGCAATGAGTTTGCACACCCCAAGGAAAGTTTTTGAACCTTTTCTCAGACAAAGGAAATTCCAACTTCTTCCAACGAATTTATGTAAAAATCTGATCAATGAGCCTGTAAAAACCTTTTCTCTAGGGTAGCGTTTCCCTAAATTTTAATACACATGAAATTTCAATAAATCTTCCCTTTGATGTCATAGGTATTAATTAATAATCAGGAACAATGATGCCACACATCATAGTTAAAAAAGAATTGATAATTTTGTATGTTTGTTTAGGTCTACATGAGCTCATCTGGGCTTGACTGGTGTCCTGTGCTAGCTGCATGGTTAAAAACACGCTCAAGCCGAGAACAATCTGTTTTTCAACATCTTTTTGATGAGTCATTTGGACAGCTCTACACGTGGTCCCAACATAATCTCAATTTAACAATGAAAGTTCTTCAAATAAACATCGTTCAACAGGTATAAAAAAATGCAAACAAATTTTTTTTTTGTCTTTGTGAATTTTGACCTTACAATACATCATTTCAGTGGTTTAAGAAGAGTCACAGCCTCTCACTTTAAAAAATTAAGTTTTAATTAAAAGAATTCATGATTTACATTATTTCATAGAATATAAGACATTTTTTATGGAAATTATGTTCATTTTACTTTAAAGCATAATTTTAATGCATACCGTAGGGGCAACTTCCATCCTACCCTTTTTCCTGACGGGGCTGATCCGGAAACATTTTTTAAAAGTATCCTGTCTTATTAGATTTCTAATAGCCTTTATTTGTCATTACATTTTGATTTTAAAATACTTTTGGCTCCTTGAAATATGTAGATTGTTTTTTGTGTTTCATGAAGGTATTGATCTTACTGCAAGGATTAGTGCCCATTGAAACGGACACTGAGTCAGCTGAACGAACGGAGGAAAAACCTGTTGAAGTGGAGGAAGACGGCAAAGATAAAAAGGACATTGTCATGCAGTAAGTCCAAAAGATTTTCTATCTTTCTGCAAGGAATGGACACCTGAGATGGGGTGGAAATGAGAATTTTTGAAGAACCTTGACCTCTATATCTGACCGTGCCCGTTGAGTATTATCACAGGGGTGAATAGGGGGCGGTCTATGGTCCTGAACAGATTGAACATAAACATTGAATGTAAACAATGACGTTCCGTCATTTACCCTGAATAGATGCTCCCAGCAATGTTGGATAGCTGCATCTCTTGAGTTTCCAACCATCGTAGAAGAAGTCACTTCATAGAAAAACCATAATTTCAATTGAAATATTCTCCCCTTTCTAATTTATATATAATTTTCTCACAATCTTGAGGAGGAAACAAGTTTTCAAAAGTAGATTCGGCCTTAACTTAGCAGATTGATGGTTTTAAAAAATTGTATAAGCTTTTTGAGGCATTTTTCAACAGCTTTGAAATTCAAATTTCCCAGGGCTCATGTCCCTTCTTCAATTCAAGTTGAATCACCTGATAAGTCAGAATGAAAAAAAATAAATATGCACATGCCGGGACAAACAGGCAAGTGGGGTCACCTAGAAAAATTTTAGCGGGCCGGTCAATATTTATGATGATTTTGGATTGGTCTTCCTCTCTCACATGGCAAACGAGCAGCTAAAATGATCCAGCAGTCCAAATGCAGATTGGCTGGTATTCAGTTCCAGTACAGCTTTGTGTAGATGCACCCCTTCATTTTTTACCTGATAATTCATTTATGTTTCTTTTGTAGGTTGTCTGTAGAACATCTCCAAAAACTGTATGTATTTGCGCTGGTTTGGTCAATGGGAGCTCTTTTAGACTTAAGTGACAGAAAAAAATTAAACGAATTCTTCAAAGATAAGTTAACAGTCTTAGATTTGCCTCCAATTCCTGGATCTTCTTCGCTAACGGTGTTTGATTACTTTGTTACCGATGAAGGTACGTCACTAAATTTATTTTGTTTGTTTTTGAGTTTGGTCAATACTATTATATCCCCAGAAGCATTTCTTAACAAAAAAGTTGTGATTTTGCTTCCCTTCTATCACAGTATAATTGCTAGCACCATGAATGTACATGAGTTTTTATCAGCTTTTATCTTAATTTGTTACAAAATTTTACTGATAAAATCGCCAAAAACATTATCAACAAAGTAGTCATTTTATTTATTTTTTTTTTTAGCTTCAAAGAGATATTTGCATCATGAGTTTTATCCCATCCAACCTTTTACTCCTGCATTAAGGTCTCTTTGTTCGATTTTTCATACGAAGTACCTGGAAATTCCAAGGAAAAATATCTATAACTTTTCTCAAAAATAAATATTTTATCTGAAGAAATTTGGTAGCATTCAGGTGTTCTTACAACGTTCTCCCTTGGCGCAGCAGAACTTGTATCTTGTGAAGCTTTAATTCCTGCCATGTTTTAGCGTCCGTAGTGAAATTATGATTTGCTGCAATCGAATCCTAATTTCGTTTTCCTCATAATTTTTTTTTTTTCCATTTTTCAAAAGGGAAGTGGGAGCTTTGGACAGCAATGATCTCCAGTTACTCATACCCTGAGTCAAGCACACCAGATTACAGTTCAATATTAGTTCCAATCGTAGACAACGTTCGCACCGGCTACTTGATCCATTGTATAGCCAAGCAAGAGAAAGCTGTCCTTTTAATCGGAGAACAAGGCTCGGCCAAGACTGTAATGATGAAATCATACATGAAAAAATCAAATCCTGAGCAGCATCTCAGTCGGTCTTTTAATTTTTCCTCTGCGACAAGCCCATACCAATTCCAGGTGGGATGCATCAATTTTTCTATAACAATTCAATTCCTCTACACAATCTACAATCTACAATTTCTTTTAATGCAATTCAAGATATCTTGAATATTACAAAAATAATAATTATCACCAGAGCTTTCTTGAATCTAAAATTTCCTCGCAAACTTTCAACATTGTATTGTAACGCTCTTATTGTGTCATCATTTCTTTAAAATTCTTCGTATGGAGAACCTTTCTGCACAGCTAAGTGTGGAGCAAGATTATTTGTCTGTGCTTACTATACAAAGGTTCTCATCTGTGTTACAGAAAACGATTGAAAGCTACGTGGAGAAAAGAATGGGTAATACCTTTGGTCCTCCAGGAGGTCGGAAAATGACAGTATTCATTGATGACATTAATCTCCCACAGATCAACGAGTGGGGTGATCAGGTCACCAACGAAATTGTTCGCCAAACAATGGACATGCATGGATTTTACAGTTTGGAAAAACCTGGTGAATTCACTACACTGGTGGATATTCAGTTTGTCGCTGCAATGGGCTTACCAGGTCAGTATTTCGAATCTCATATCAATGAGAATTAAAATATCAAATTCAGTGCTTAAAATTTACCTATAATCTGTATTTTTGTGTTCAAACGTGCCAATTTCTCAACTCAATTTGGAAAATGTTGTTTCGAGAAAATGTTTTAAATTCTGATCCGTCATGTTCTGGATATTCAATTGGTGAATTATAATGTAACTGTGTGTTATGAAAATAACCTGAACCGCTCATAACTTCATCTTAAAGACTTGAAAGAAATTTTTCCATTGCAATCTCAAATTTCATTTTTCTGCCTCAACTCAATAAAAATCATCAAATTTGAATGTTTTAATTTTTTTTTTGACTAGCTTCTAGTCCCGAAAAAATCGCATGCATAAACTCGTTCCCGTTACATTACCTAGTTTGAATCTCATGTTTATAACCAGCAAATCCGGTAAAGGAAAAAATTGGGAATTTTGTATTTATTTCAGGTGGAGGCCGTAATGACATTCCATCTCGACTCAAACGCCAGTTCTGCGTTTTTAACTGTCCTTTACCGACCGATGAATCAATTGACAAAATATTTCGCGTTGTTGGAGAAGGTCACTATAATGCAAAAAGAGGTTTCAGCATAGATGTCCGAAATTTAGTCAAGAAATTGATTCCTCTCACCCGGATGTTATGGCACAAAACAAGAGTGAGATTTTTTCTTTTCAGTGAAATAGTTATGAGTAATTATTATTTAAAAAGTTCATGCTGCACTAAACAAGAGCATTTCTCTAACTACTAAGTACAGTCACCAAAACTAGTGACCTCTGATGGCAAGCGTAATTCAACTGAAAATCTTAATAGTCCCAATTTTGACTCAGCTGTAGAACTCTGAGCTCTTTATTTTGATTGATGGAGGTAGATGAAGAGTACAATATAAAAATTAATTATAATATCAAACACAGGTTTTGGTTTTGAAACAAACCTCAAACAAAAAATATGTACAATAGATTTTCTTCTTTGTTCTAACAAAATACAGTATTACCCCAATTATCTGACCACCAATTATTCAATGTATTCAAAATTGAGTTTTTGGTCCAGAATCAGTAAGCCGACATGACAAAAACCGGTTTTTTTGACAAAAATTTAACTCGTATGTGGTTTTTTTCCGGATAATGATTATATTTTCAAGTACGATAGAAAGTGGGTCAAGCCTGTGTTTTTTAGTTATAAACAGGGCCTGAAATGACATTTTTTCAGTCTTTCTTCGGTAGTTTTGATTATCCAACTTTTTGATATCTGTTGGGGTCCTTGCCACAAATTGTGGGATAATGAGAGTATTGCTGTACATCTTCAAATACATTCGCTGAAACAAATTGTTTTCCATCCAGGCTGTTCTCTTACCTACTCCAGCAAAGTTCCACTATGTATTCAGCTTAAGAGATTTATCTCGCATATGGCAAGGGATGGTCGGCACACTCAGTACTGTCATCGATTGTGAGGCTACCCTCATGCTTTTATGGAAACATGAGTGCACCCGGGTTTTTTCTGATAGGTTTGTATCTATTTTATTTTATGCTCCAGACTTGTTTCTTTAAAAATCATGTCATTAAAATAAAATGAATTTTCTGTAAAATTGTGAATGAATAACTCATTGATTCATTCAATTTTTATCTGAAGAACGGAGTATTTACTGAGAGACTTCATCCTACGCCTAGGAAAAAGCAGAATTATTCATGATTTTCTCAGAATTTATGGATAGACGGCAAGGCCCTAGTACTGATACCAAAAATAGTATCATAGTTTCTATCTTGTTTCTTTACTTATCAAACTGTATGTATTAACATACCCACATTGTTGGGGACTCCAATTTCTCAATCTTGTCAAGAACATCAGCTGGAAGCCGCTAATGTCAAACCCTCTATGTTTTTACTGGGATACAAAATTTAGAACAGTTGCTTAAGTGAGTTTTATTATACTATCATGCCCTTTGTCAGACTCAAGGAGACATGCATTTTTTGAAGAATATTTTTCGTCCATTATTTTCAAGTTTGTAATTGTGCTAATCTTTTTTTGAGACAGATTCACCCTGGTTTCCGATAAAGACTGGTTTGATAACACTTTACTGACAGTAACAGAGGAAGTTTTAGGTGGGAACTATCGTGAAATGGCCCTTCCTAATCCTGTATTTGTGGACTTCATGAGGTATTGCATCTTTTAGTTTTTTATCTTTCCTTTGTCATAATAAAATACATTCTTTCCTTGTAAATTAAACTCAGAAATATGGAGCTCCAAGCATCCAAAGATATGCTCGTACATGTTTTTCAGTCCATATTTTATCTGATTTGAACATTTGGGTATTTTTTTTATGGATACATATTTCTTAAATTGAATTATGTCCTGCTCAGGTTCTTGATGGACAGCCCCAAACTCTTGTTCCCCAAAATTGTTTGCCTCAATCATGGACGTAACATGAAACTTATTCTATTTGTTGCAAATATCGCTCTTGTAAATATTCATCAAAGAATTAGCCACAGAAATTAAAAAATTAAAATCCAAAAAATTACCTTTTGTGAAAGTAATTTCTAAAATCTTGTAGGGGTTCACAAAATGCCCATTTATGGAGAGGCCCTGTCTCTAAAGTATGGCAACCATGCATTTCCGATTCATAAAACATTGAAAAAAATGAACAGCATTATAATTTTATATAAAAACTTTTTTACTTCTCGGATATTTTTTTGATTTTACAATTGTGTCAAACATGCTTCCAAGATGAAATTAAAATTTCAGAGATGCCCCTGAACCCACAGGAGAAGAGGGAGAAGAGGCTGATATGGAACTGCCAAAAGTCTATGAACCAGTCACTAATCTCAATGAATTGCGAGAGAGATTGGACATGTTTTTGTCTCAGTTTAATGAGATGGTGCGAGGTGCTGGAATGGACCTTGTGTTCTTCCCAGACGCTATGCTTCATTTGATAAAAGTAATTTCAAATCTGTTGCCTATTCAATTCATATTTAACATAGATGCACGCAAAAGCACCACTGTAAAAATGTATTTGTGTATTTTTATTCAACGTCTGCACCAAAACAAGTCTCTAGCCACAGGGAGTTTAAAACATGAATGTAATGATTGATAGCAGAGTTATAATTCAAAGAAGGCTCTTTCAGTTCAGTCATTGTCAGTGATGTTTCATCAGCAAAATTAAATGTGTGTGCATTATCATGGTCTCTTTGCATTTTGGCGATAATCAAAAAGTAATTATTTATTTTCATAGGTTCCCATTACTTTTCAAAAGACTAAAATATCCTTTTTGTTTGTTCGTACAGATATCTAGAGTGATTCGTCATCCAAGAGGTAATGTAATGTTAGTTGGTGTCGGAGGATCTGGAAAACAGTCCCTCACTCAACTGGCGTCTTTCATCGCTGGATACAAAACGTTCCAGATCGCTCTCACAAGGTACGTATTAAAATTATGTAGAGATTTCAACTATCCCTTCCAGAGTCCATCAGAAAGTTTCCTTCTGAAAGTTGATCCATTTACCTAAAGAATGAGCTTAAATTTTGTCTGGATCAGTTGATGTGAAAATATTTTTAGTTTTGAAGTTACACGCTGCTCCTAATGAATACAATATTGCCTATGGGTACCCAACATCTTACAGTAGACTGTGACCATTGAGGATCTTTTAAAAAAGTGTCTTAAAATCCAGAAATTATGAATTGACCGATCGACAGTCGAACTGCTATTAAAAATGCCACAGCATCACCTTAATGTATCATCATATTACCTTCTTTACAGATCTTATAATGTTGGAAACTTCCTGGAGGATCTTAAATTGTTGTACCGTACATGTGGTGTTCAAGGGAAAGGCACTACGTTCATTTTTACTGACCTTGATATCAAAGAAGAGGGCTTCTTGGAATACTTAAACAATATTTTGTCCTCCGGTAATTATCATAACCTTTGTTTTCTCTCTCTTTCTGATCTTTGTTCCTCCTTCAGCCACTCTCTTACTTTTTTCTTTCCTGTTTTATTTCCATGAAGCTTTTTCTCCTGTAAAAATGAGTCTTTAAATTTGTCACCTCATTTCCTTAGAACACTGTTAATATTTCAAAAAAAATTCCATGTTATTATAATTTGTATCAATAATTTCATGTGATGGAATTCGAAAGAAAATTATGGAATAGTGTCAGCAGAAGGGACAGTTTTGATCCATCAATTTGAATAGGCTTACATAGGTTCTTGATTTTCCCATCCCACCCATATGTGTCCGGCTAACGGGTTAAATGAGCCATGAAGCACAGCTCATAGAGAAGCTTATCGTTTAATCAGCATGACATATTGACAAATCGCTTATGAATGCAGCTAAAATATCTCCTCGTAAAAGCAAAATTCTCTTTTGAGAATTGTCTTTTTTCATCCATCATTACCACCACAATTTACTTAATGTAGAACACGGTGCGGTGCTGTGTCACCAATGTTTAAGGACTGAAATTCATACATATTTTTAATTACGTTATGTCTGTAATAATTCTAGGAGTGATCTCAAACTTATTCACACGAGATGAACAGCAGGAAATTATATCTGAGCTGACTCCAATTATGAAAAGAGAAAATCCAAAACGAACTCTAACGCATGAAAATGTGATGGAATTCTTCCTCTTCAGAACCTGTCAAAACTTGCACGTGGTTTTTTGCTTCTCACCGGTGAGTTCAATTACTCTGTTTGTTTACTTATTTTTCAAAGGGAAGAAGAATCTGCGTTCATGTGCCTGGTGGCCGTATGCTATTCTGCCTACTGTCATTCAGCCCAAGATTTTTGAACAGCTAGTTGATTACTTACAGATGAAATTATTTTTCCTAGTCATGTGCCAAAGAAACTATAAGATAGAAAAACTGCTGAAAAAGGGTAATTCAAATAAGTGAAATAAAAGTATAATTCTATTTTGTTTTATTCTTCTTAGTTCAATCGATTTCCCTTTTATCTTAGGTTGGTGAAAAATTCCGCAACAGAGCTCTCAGATTTCCAGCCCTTGTCTCTGGTTGCACCATCGACTGGTTCCAGCCATGGCCTAAAGATGCTTTAGTCCTAGTAGCAGAGCATTTTTTGACAGACTTTGAAATAGAATGTTCAAAGCAAGTGAAAGTGGAGCTAGTCAATGCCTTAGGGTCTATCCAAGATGTGGTGACTATTACGTCCTCAGAGTATTTTCAAAGGTCAGTACTCAGTTATAAAATTATCAAGCTCATACACAGGGGGCAAAAATTATCAGATACTTGTTAATATTTTGCAAAAATTAGCAGTTTGGGTCTGCACAAAACTCTCTCAAATGCATATGGGAATCATTCCCGATAGGAAACCAGATATTCTATCCCTTGGAAGTTGGAAATAACCTAAGAATTACCAATGAGAATCCCTATAGTGTGAAAAAAAGGGGCTGAGTTCCAGCAAAAAGCACAGGTCGTTAACTATCATAATTCCAAAATGGTGGCTTTAAGCTCAAAGTTGGTTTATAGTGAGAATTTTAGGATTCTCAGCAAAAATTTTAGAATTAATAGCTAGAATTTTCGGCATGGGGTTAATTTTAAATGAGAACTTGGCAGTTTTCTGGAAAAATGTTGGTCTTTACAAACTACAAAAAGATGGGTCTCTATATTTGATCTCTTTGAACGTTAAAATGATTTGTCAGTAATTTATTGTCTTGCATGGTTACACCAGATTTCGACGTGCCACTCATGTCACACCAAAATCATACCTGAACTTCATCGGTGGTTATAAGAATATTTATCAACAAAAGCAACATGAGTTGGGCGAAGGGGCTCACCGCATGGACACTGGTTTGGCCAAGCTTGAGGAGGCATCTCATTCAGTTGAGATTTTAAAACAAGACCTGGCTATTATGGAGCAAGAGCTGGCTCAAGCCTCTCAAAAAGCTGAAACTGTAAGTAATTACAAATTTGGAGAAAAAACTTGGAATGTGCTACGGTTTAATTGTCGTTTCTGTATTTTAGAACAAAGATTCTTTTGACTCTATTATCTCAATCAGTTGTTCTTTATAATCATAAGTGGAAGTGGAAATAAAATACACAGGTATATTATGGTAATGAGAATATTTCAATAGAGGTTGATAGTGGTATGCATGTCTAAAAAGTGAAGCACTGGTATCAATTAATTTTTTTAAAAATCTTGCAGGTTTTGATTGAAGTCACAGAGCGAGCCATGCAAGCTGAGCGAGTAAAGAATCAAGTGATGAAAGTCAAAGAGAAAGCTGAGGCGCTTGTTGAATGCATTGCAATTGAGAAAGGTCTTGCAGAAGAAAAATTAGAGGCAGCCAAACCAGCACTTGAAGAGGCCGAAGCAGCCCTGAATACAATTAAACCAGCACATATAGGTAAATTCCAAATGGTTTATTGTTTTATCATGAAAGGACAGATCAACATACTGATAAAGTAATTCAAAAGGTTTCCTCCTCCAACTTCTTGCTTGCGAAATATCAATATGTTATAAGAAAATTTGATGAACAATGTAGGAAAATTTCTTGGGGTGCTCATGGAAAATCTGTAGGAAAGCAAGAATAGTACAAAACATAAGATGAGGCCCATGCACCCCACTGAATTTCAAAAATTCCTAAGTGATAGTTAATAATTAAGTGAAATCAACTAATGTTTCTTCAGGATTTAAAAAATAATTCTTTGATAGGATTTTTTCCTCACAAATGATGTATGAAACACATTCAATTCGTCGCCTCCTGTATGCAGAACCAATCTTGTCCTTGCTGTCGAACTATTTTTCCAAATATATTATTTTCTAATGGTAGAATCGTCGCAGGAATTAATCTGAGAATTTCAGAATGTATTTTTACAAAAGTAAAGAAAAGTCACCAGAAATTTCAGGAAAATTCATGCGACAGTTTTTCTTTGAACAAATAAAATTTAACTGAGAATACCGAAAGAGCGCAACTGAGGTACAATCGTGCCCTCAGTAGGTACCAAACTGTTTGACTGATTGCCGCAGAAATTGAGAATGAGTTATTTTAAACATGATTGGTTTACAGTTTGCAATTAGGAATTACAATATCTGGCTTATCCGTGAAAACACTTATGTGTAGAAGGATACTGATGGTACTTATGTTGTTTCTAAACTGGGCCAGAAATTGAAGTTCCTAATGGCAAAATGTAGTCCAATTTATCCCTAAAATCTCATTTTTCGAAGTATCATAGGTGACTGTTTACTTAATACGTATTATGTATCATTCATTTTTAACAAATAATCGATTTGCTACCTGTAATGCAGGTCTTTGTACCTCAAACCTTAGAAAAATTTCACTGTGTTTTTTCCTGTGTAATTTTTCAGCAACTGTGCGAAAACTTGGACGTCCTCCCCACTTAATCATGCGTATAATGGATTGTGTATTAATTCTGTTCCAACGTAAACTTCATCCAGTCATTGGAGATACTGCTGCTCCTTGTCCAAAACCATCATGGGCTGAGTCTCTAAAGGTATGTGTAGCCACCATGTAATTTTGCAAAATCTGAGTCTATATGATGTACAGTTGCAGAGTTTTTCGTCGTTTTTATCTAACTTGTCACCTCAAAGAACTGTTATTATTAAAGTGACTCATCTTAGTGAAGGTTTAAATAAAGAGGTAAATTTTTGAAGGAAAATATTTCAGTTAAACTCAAAAGATAAAAAAAAATTAAATATTTTTGGTGGCAATGAGTTCTTACGCATTTGTGTTTGCAGCACCATGAAAACATACAGAAACAAACAATTTTATAATCTGTAAAACATGGTTAAAGATGTTTTCAGCCTAATGTGCACTTTCTTGTCTGTAATTATCTGTGGTATATAATGTCAGCTTGGTGGTGTCGGCCTCCTAAGCCTAACAGGGCACCACAATAATGAAGAATTCTAGCTTTTAATATTTTTAGAGGGAAAAAAACTGTCCAGTTAACATCCTGGGATGTTAAAAATCTGTGTGACAATTTTGGAATGTTGCAATGAACTCTCTAACTTTTAAAGTAACACTCTAAACATTTTGAATTGACAACCAAAGCATTCGAATCAACATTCCTAAGTTGTCGCTCAGATTTTTAATATCCTTTCATGTTAAGTTAGCAACTTTTCTTTTTTTTTGACAGGTTGGAAAAATGTTATTGTTTGATAGTCCTAGAGCTTACTTGAGACCCCAAGTTTGTACCCCTATTTTGTTTTGCAGATGATGGCCAGTACGACTTTCCTTCTCCAACTCCAGAACTATCCCAAAGACATAATCAACAATGAAATGGTGGAGCTCCTCCAGCCATATTTTGAAATGGAAGACTACAATATGGATACGGCTAAACGCGTCTGCGGTGATGTTGCTGGACTTTTGTCATGGACAAAAGCCATGGCCTTCTTCCACAGTGTCAACAAGGAAGTTCTACCACTGAAAGCAAACCTCACCCGTCAAGAAGCACGACTGAAAGTTGCCATGGAGGACTTGAATAATGCAGAAATGGAGCTGGCCGATCGGGAATCTGCACTTAATCAGGTGAAAGCGCAATACGATGCTGCAGTCTCGGAGAAGCAACGCTTGACGGACGCAGCTAATGTTTGTATCCGAAAGATGACAGCAGCCACAGCCCTCATTAACGGCCTTGGTGGAGAGAAGATTCGCTGGACGCAACAGTCTAAGGAATTCAAAAAGCAATTAGGTCGACTTGTAGGTGATGTTGTGTTGGCAACAGGCTTTCTCTCTTATTGTGGTCCGTATAACCAAGAGTTCCGTGCAGGTTTGGTGAAGCAATGGATGCAAATTTTGAAAACTCGCTCAATACCTTTCACGCATCATCTGAATATCACAACAATGCTAATCGAAACTGGGACTATTTCTGAGTGGACTTTACAAGGTAAGGTTGATCCTTTTAAGAACGTTCTCCGGTTTTTTTTATACTTGTGACATTCCTGGTCACTGAGAAAAATTTTTCACTGGTAATTTCTGATCAAAGTATTCAATCTACCTTTTACAGACTACATTTGGTAAATTTTCAAAGAACTGAGTCAGCCGGATTCATTGGACCAATATTGCAATACATTTATTTTTATCAAAAATTCAACTTCAAATGGACTACACTTTGCACTTTGGAACTACAAGTTCTGACTCAGTTTAGACGCAATGTTCGATCCCTGGATAGATCACCAGAGTTTGATAGTCTCAAATGGACGGAGTTAAACAGAAAGGAACCAAGCCACACTGGGATCGAACCGAGAAAAAGAGGTTTAAAGTTTGGCTCCTGCATAAGACTCAATGTAAAAGATAAACTTCAAGGTCAATTTCTGCAAAATTTGCTCCAACAAAAATTTTGAATTTTTGGCGATAGATAGTAGAGCAGTGGTTGAGTTCAATACCACTCATAACTCAATTTTTTCCAAAATGTGGGTTGGTTCCTTTCTGTTTAACTCAGTCCAAATAATGGTTACCTGAGGCTGATTGTTGTGTAGGGACTGAAAGAGATGATACTATAATCGAAAATGCAAGATTACGCCTCAGAAGTATTTGAAGTATTTGAAGTGCACAGAAATTGGACTGCATTTTGCAATCAGGAACTTCAATTTCTGGCTCAGCCATAAAAACACTCATGTGCATGGGAAACTGATTGTACATACGTTGTTTCTAACCTGTGCCGGAAATTGTAGCTCGTAATTGCAAAATGTAGTCCGATTAAAAATTCAGCATACCAAAGGTTTTACTCATACTACTGTTCTCATATAGCTGTCATAAAGAAGATAATTTAATTCGGTTTGCAGGTCTACCTAATGATGAACTCTCAGTTCAGAATGCATTGATTGTGACCAAGTCAAGTTCGTATCCCTTGTTAGTTGACCCCCAGAATCAAGGCAAGATGTGGATTAAGAATAAAGAAGCATCCAATGAGCTCCAAATCACATCACTGAATCACAAATACTTCCGAACGCACTTGGAGGACAGCCTGTCGCTAGGACGGCCACTGTTGATCGAAGATGTTGGTGAGGAGTTGGACCCTGTGATTGACAATGTTCTCGAGAAGAATTTCATCAAGTCAGGATCAATTGAGAAAGTTGTGGTTGGAGACAAGGAGAACGATGTCATGCCAGGTTTTATGTTGTACATCACAACAAAACTACCCAACCCAGCTTACTCGCCTGAAATTAGTGCCAAAACTTCGATCATTGACTTCACCGTTACAATGCAAGGTCTGGAAGATCAGTTGCTCGGCAGAGTGATCTTGATGGAAAAAGCAGATCTAGAGGCTGAAAGGGTCAGTATCTTACAGCGTGTTCATCATTATTATGTGGGAATATCCCTCAGCCTTAGCTTGCAGGATATTAGAAGCCGGCCTCTGAATTGAAGAGCTTATAGTAATTTTCTACCTTCAGAGAGAAATACTTAGTCTCTTTTTCTTTTTTTAATGAAATTTCATTCTTTAAAATACGCCAATTTCATTGTATTTAGTTGCTCATTATGAGGCGTTTAGAGTGCTTTAACTGCTTTAAGTGTCTTAACACGATTCTTGATCAGTCTCAATGACTATTATTTCATCGGTCACTCTAGGCCAAAATAGTCATAATGATCGGTGTGTTTTCATCGCATTGCAATGCAATAGATGCAGTGTCTGAGGGTCATAAAAGGAACTAATTGTACAGTAATAGTTATGTGTGTTACCAATAGGAAGCAATAACGTCAAGGCAATTGGTAGAAACAGTGGTTTAAAGCATCCCATTTCTTTTTTGCATGTTTTTTAATTCTGTATGGAACAATTTTACAATTACACTCCAATAGTGAAATTTTCAGCTCTCAAAGATAGGTATGCCATCACTTTAGTCCATACTTGTTTTTTCTCAATCTGTATCAATCAGGTGCAATCAGTGTCCATCAATAGGAGAAATCAGGAGTGGTGCAGCCACCTTGCCCCTCCCCACCCCAGATGATTGGCCAACCCCCTCTTCCTCCTATTTGACCCAGTCTGAAAGTGTACTTCACCTCTCCCTCTGTTGAAAGTTTGCCGCTACCCCTCCCATACTTGAAAACTTAGTCGTGGTCCTCGGTACAATTCATTGCACAAAAATTACTATTTTAAAGTGATGCTTTATCGATAGCAGTGTAAAGTGCTTGCCTGAACCTGGGCTCCATTGCATGCGGAACCCTTTCTTTCAGACTGAACCCCAGTTTCATAAATGGTTTTTTGGTTGCAGGTTGCATTGTTCGAGTCAGTGATGCAGAATCAGCGCAGTATGAAAGAGTTGGAGAGCAACCTCCTTCATAGATTAACATCCACCAAAGGCTCTTTAGTTGACGATGAAGCCCTTATCCAAGTGCTCCAGGAAACGAAAACAACGGCCGAGGAGGTCAATGCTAAACTTCAAGTTTCCGAGGTCACAGAAAAGAAAATCATGATTGCGCGAGAGGAGTTCCGTGCGGTTGCTGCCAGAGGATCCATCCTGTACTTCCTAATTGTCGAGATGTCCAACGTGAACAGCATGTATCAGAACTCACTCAAGCAGTTTTTGACGCTTTTCGATAATTCCATCACCAAGTCCATGAAGAGCGTCGTCACTGAGGAACGGATTAATAATATCCTGCAGTACTTGACACTAGTAGTTTGGCAATTCACATTACGTAGCTTGTATGAGAAACACAAAGTGCTGTTCACTCTAATGCTGGCTATGAAAATTGATTGCCATCAAGGTACCTCTCTGATTTTATGGTATAAATTAATACAATTTTTGGAAAATCATCGTAAGATTGGTCCTCAACCAAGTCATCAAGAATGGTAAATTACATCATCGAAAAAATTATTTGAGTAAAGAAACGACTGCAGCAGCAATGACTATTGGATCTAAACTTTAAAAAATAAACAATTTTTGAGATAGAAGCACCAACCAGAAAATCATTCCAGTTTTTTATTAATAATATTTATTTTGTGAAGAAAAGCAAAAGATTTAGTTATTATTTGATATGATGTTTCTTACAACCTCTTGAGCTTAACAAGCCTTTAAAATCAAACTCTCTATGCACCAATTCTGAAACTAGTAGGCTTGAAAAGAGAATATTTGGTATTTTCACTTGTGTTTTCTTAAAATATATGGCACTGCTGCTGTGCCTGATATGGAAAGTTTTTTTTTCCTACAGCAGTTGATTAGACAGATGCGTTTGTAGGTATCTGGCTTGATGTTTACACTCGTTTACTAATGTTTTATTTTTATTTTTTTTTTTAAACAGAAAACTATGCAAAATTCTACCTAAAAATTTTGTTAATATGTCCTGCACAATTCCTAGAAAATTTCCAGAAAGTTACTGAGTATTATGTTGCTTTGCTCTCAGCCAAACAATTAAAGCATAAGGGACAATTTGGCAATGTGAAATTCAGTGAGACTGATTTCAGTATATCGTTGTCAATAAAATGGAGTGTACCTACAACTTACAAACAAGGATTGATTTGAATACTCCACGATTATAAAAGAAAGATGAGCCATTCTCCTTTTTCGGATTTTTTGCAACCAGATCATGTATGTGCTTTGTATCTTTACAGGTAACATCACACACGATGAGTTTCTTACGTTCATCAAAGGTGGCGCATCCTTGGATTTGAATGCGGTCACCCCGAAACCTTTCCGGTGGATCCTGGATGTGACATGGTTGAATCTGGTTGAGATTTCACGAATTACCTACTTCTCTTCAATTTTAACTAAGATTAAGCAGAATGAGCGAGAATGGCGCGTCTGGTATGAAAAGGAGAGACCTGAAGAAGAGGAAATTCCCTGCGGGTAAACGTCTTTTTCTTCTCTTGCCCTGTTTTTATCGCATCGTGACTCTCAATTCTTCATCAATGCACGATTTTGGATTAAAGAAGAAGGAAGTGAATTTATGAAATTTTTTTACCCTTGACATATTTTTTTCTTACCACCATGAACTTTTCTAAAATTGACCTCTCCAAAGATAGCGTAGTTCTCTTAAATTTGGACTAAGTTTTGCAATCTAGAACTGCAATTTCCGGTTTAGTTCAGAATGAACGTATGCACTATTAGTTTCTCCATACACATAAGTGTTTTTGTGGCTGAGCCAGAAATTGTAGTGTCTAATTGCAAAATGTAGTCCATAGAATATTTTGCCAACCTTTTTTCAACATTGCACATTTCTACAAACGATGCGTGAAAACTTGCATGCTTTCGATCAATTATTTTAAGCTTCAAGAAGTATTCATATTAAAATCCTTCTAATTAGAATAAAATATACTTAATTAATGAATTTGTGTAAAATTTTCAGGTACCATAAATCTTTGGACGTATTCCGTAAACTGTTATTAATTCGGTCATGGAGTCCCGATCGAACCCTCTCCCAAGCAAGAAGATATATTGTTGAATCTCTGGGAACAGAGTATGGTGAAGCATGTATTTTAGATCTTGAACGAACCTGGTCCGAGTCTGAACCACGCACGCCCTTAATTTGCATCCTTTCAATCGGGTCAGACCCATCGCCGCAAGTGACATCTCTGGCAAAGGCGAAAGAGATCCCACTGCGAGCGGTTTCAATGGGCCAAGGTCAAGAGCTTGCCGCACGAAAGATGATTGCTGACTCAATGCAGTTTGGTGGATGGGTACTGCTGCAGAATATTCATCTGTCCTTACCCTTTTGCAATGAGGCCATGGATGCACTCCTGGACACTGAAAACGTTCATGAGACGTTTAGATTATGGATGACAACGGAGGTGCACACTCAATTTCCAATAGGATTGTTGCAGGTAGGAATTGCTCTATTTTAAAAGAAAAATTCTGCTCCACATTTTTCACCCCTCTGAAGTTTGGTCAAGTTTTCTTTCTTATTTTTTTTTATAACACAATAATTTATTGAGGATGTACAGATTATCTTTACTATTTTTAAGTGCCTTTAAGTATTTAATCTTAATTTATCGTATTACTAATGTTATTTCTGGGACTGTCCATAGGGACACTACTTAAGAATCTTCGTTATTCTAAGTTATTTAGTCAAGATATTCAATGGATTGTTAATCACTGACATCAGAATGTCTTTATTTAGAAGTCTGAAGTTTCCACCTCAGCGGCAGGCTATTGCAAATTTTTGAATATCGGATTTTTCTCGATCTGTTTGAGTTTTGTACCATCAATTTTTGAAAATATTCCTGTTTTTTTGGAGGGGAGTAATTTACAGTAAACTGAAACTACCATTGAAAGTTTCATTTCACATGTTTCTAATTGCCAAGAATTGATTTCCACTGCATGTTTTTTCGGCAATTCTCGGTTTTCTGGGTAATGTCGGTTTTTCAAAAGAGGGTGGAATCCATGCCGGATTTTCATCGGTTGAAGTTTCCGCAGAATATGGGTATCACCAAGCAACTGCTTTTTCTTAACTTGAATGACGTATGATGACAACAGGTGCTTACTTTCTAATTGACCTTTGAAAAAATTCCTGTCTGATGATTCAAAATCGAGCTGCCTACACTTTAGCTAAGTCTGATTGTATTTGTCTCAATTTCAGATGGCGATTAAATTTACCAACGAGCCTCCACAAGGAATCCGAGCAAGCATGAGGCGAACTTACCAAAACATTACTCAGGTACTTAATCAATCAAATTAATTCTTTTTTTCTTAAGCAAGAAGCTAATTACCAAAGTTATACTTTTAGCTTTTAACATGGTTTATGGATAAATATTTTTTATCATTCAATTTCGATCTCGAATAATTTAACATGTACCTTAATGTCCTAAATATCTTTGATGAAGAATTGGCAAGTATTTGCTATCCCAACCATCGAACGAACTGCAGTTGAGTATTTTTGTTTTGAGCTGGCAACATGGTGGGCTTTGTTCTGGTGGCAGTTAAATTTAGGACTGAAAAAGTTAAATTCAGTCCGGGATGAGGATCGAAAAATTTGAATTCAATTCGGGATAAAAATAAGTCACAGGCACTTGCAGAAAAATTATTGATGCTCATGAATACAGAATGTACTTTTTAACAGATTAGCTGTCAAAGAAATGTAGGAAAGTAGTTTTTGTACAAGAGCAGGATGTCATTATTTTTTTCAAGATGTGATTGTATAAAGAGTTTTTTTATTGCTCTTAGGATACGTTGGACTATTCCTCACAGTCGCAGTGGCCACCATTGCTGTATGCTGTGGCATTTTTGCATACAGTTGTTCAAGAGCGCAGGAAATTTGGACCGCTAGGTTGGAACATTCCATATGAATTCAACCAAGCTGATTTTGCAGCTAGTGTACAGTTCATTCAAAATCACCTGGATGACATGGACCCAAAGAAAGTAGGTTATTTTCTCTTTTTAGAATATAATACTACTTTTGTTTAAAGTAGGAGTTACTCAATTTTTCTCTACACTTTCTACTCGAAGTTTTTCGGCCACTACTTTTTTGCGACAGATTTGTCTGCAGAGATTTTAGCTCTTTGTAGAATCACAATAAATTATCAAAATATTTTGAGAATGATCCATGTGGGCATTTACAAGTTAAGTGCAATTTAGGTCTAGTTATTTTTACTGCGCACCAATTAGCAATCATTATCCTCGTTTTGTTTTCCTCTTAGCTCTGAAAAATCTGGACACATCTGAGTAAGATACTTTAAATAACTCAAGATATCTGGCTACATCAAGATCAGTAAATCTAAAACAATGGCTTTAAAACAATTAAATGTGATAAGTCAAGATACATCTGGACAAATTGGATCATATACATCAGAATGAATCCGAAAATTCCGAGAGCCTCGAGCATTTTTCAACTGCAAAGCACAAGCAAAAGTGAAACATTTGATTCAATTCATTAAATACATATGTTGATCTGTAAAATTAAACTAGTTTCAATTTCAAGCCATCGGGAAATTTAACTCACAGTAGCAGGAAAATCCAAAATGAAATTTTAGGAGGCACCCTGTAAACGAAAAACTACTCCATAGCAGTTCTTGGAGACTGCTTTAATTTTTCTTCTCTGTGCGAAGAAGAGATTTTAGAACACTGCAAACAAGATATGTGGTTTGGGGTTCTCACTGTTGAAATAAAAAATAACATTCATTGTTTATCAGGGCATTTCATGGCCAACTGTCTGCTACATGCTCGGAGAGGTTCAGTATGGTGGACGGGTAACAGATGACTTTGACAAACGATTACTTGTGACCTTCACTCATGTGAGTACCTGTTATTCTTCCTTTTGATTTACATTCGTAATGCCACATAGAATCTTAAAATATATTTAAGTATCTCCTCTAGTATGACTTCAAGTAAATTTTTAACTCCGATAAAAAATTTAAGAGCCTCTGTTATTGGAATGATCCTTCAATAAATGTTGCACTGCTATGATTTTCAAAAATGCGTTTAATGCATATTGTATTCTCTTTTCCTTTATACTTCTTGTTCATTCCATTGCACCACCAAGACAGCTACAGATAAGATGCAAGCTATTTATCATGTGTTCTTGACAAGAAATATTTATCAATATTTAAAACTATTTCCTTGTTTTGATTAACTTTAATTCACCACATCTTGAATGAAACTAATATTCCGGAATGAAGTTTGTTACAAACTTGAGTTTCAACCACGTAACAGCTTATTTTATCCAAAAGATGATCAACAACGTTCAGGAACTCAGTTGTTAAGGACAGTAAGGCTCAATTGAGCCGTACTCTTGACATTGCCAGACAGTTTATAAATGTGATAGAGTGAGGCAAGAGAAGACATGAGGTGAAGAAAAATGATAATTCAACAAGGCTAAATCAGTTTTCCAGTGTTGAGAAGACCACAGATATTATAACATCGCGTTCTGTCACTTGAATTTGGATACCCATGTCACAAGAACACAAAGCCCACCGATTCACAGATTAGCTGTTTTATTAAAATTAATATTTTTTAATACATAATGGTCTTAGAAAACTACAAAATACGTAATCTTTCTGTTCTTTACTTATTTCTGTTTTCATCGTTTTAGGTCTGGTTTTGTGATGTCTTGCTTCGACCTGGCTTTGAATTTTATAAAGGCTACAAAGTACCTATCACAAGAAATTTACAAGTAAGTATGAGACACACCTTGCTTTAATATTAAGTACCCAGATATTATTTGTTTTTGTTAAAATGGGGATTACCTCTTCAACTATCTTCTCCTGTGTAATACATATTTTGTGATATGTATGATGCCGTCATTTTTTTTCTCGAAAATCAATTCCTTGGTTCAAAGAAAATAACTTTTCAAATTAAGGCTGTTTGTACAGCTTAGTATTACCAAAGAAACAACTTAAAACGGGACTAAGGCTGCAAGTGATAAAAAGAAACACTTAAAATAAAATAAGAAACCGGGCACGTTTTGCAGGGATCACACCTGCATTTTCAACCGGCAAAAGAAGAAAATTAAAAGAAGGACACTATTTTATTTTATTTTATGTGTTTCTTTTTATTATTTGCAGCGTTAGTCCCGTTTTAAGGTGTTTCTTTGTTAGTGTTTCAGGCTGATTAAGTTGTTTTTTCTTAGTATTACCCTTTTTTTTGTAAAGAGAATCTATATTTGTGCTTACTCACACAGCCGTAGATAATACTTCCTCCATGAAGAAGTATAGAATTGGAAAAATTTGAAGTCTTTCCACCATTTGCAGGACTGAGCTGCAAGAAAGTAACTTTTTACCATTATTTTACTATATTTTTTACTATTATTTTTTTATTACTTATATTGTGATTACTTTTTTACAATTATGGAAATCCTGTTCATGTATCATGCCCCTTTACTGCATGGAGCGTTTGACAAAATATTCATTTTTTTTTTTTTTTTTTAAAGGGAACAAGCACAGTGTGCTTCACCTGAACAATTTTTGTAAGAAAAAATCGTTCATGTAGGCACTTAATAGAATAAAATCATTTTCACTCTTTTTTGTCTACCTTTAACTCTACTTCTTTTTTCTATCTAGGGGTATATTGATTATATATCTGGCCTGCCACCAACTGATACTCCAGAAGTGTTCGGTCTGCACTCCAATGCGGACATTACGTGAGTTTTTCCCAGTTTTTATTATTTTTATTTTATCTTTCTTTCAATCCAGAGCTTTAAAGTAAAAATATCCTTTGAAAGTTACTGCTCTCTCTGCCATCACAGCAGATTTATAACAGTTTTTTCCATCAGTCCTATGTTTCATTTCTTTGTCAGTATTTAAAGTTGATCAAACGCTGTTTGCTTTAGGTACCAAATCAACACAGCCAAGGGTATCCTCGATACAATTTTAAGTGTCCAACCCAAGGAAGGAGGAGCGCAAGGAGGCGAGTCTCGAGAGAACGTAGTATACTCTTTAGCAAACGATATGCTCGAAAAATTGCCCAAACAGTACAACAGCTTTGAGGTGAATAAAATCATGCATTAAATCCCTCATTACAAAATTGTATCACACTAGTGCAGAGACTGAAGGATGATTTTTAAAGGATCTCCATTCATATCTTTTGGACAGAAATCGTCGTTTCCCCTGAAACAATGTAACCATGTCTCAGCACTGCAAAATTTCTGCTCGCAAATTGGATCTTTACAAGGGAACTGTTGTACATTTCTACCTGAAAATTTCAGTGATTTTTCTCCTGATAACATACTTAAATCAGCAAAATTTTAGCTGCTTTATTCTCTCGTAAAAAATTGAATCAATTGAATTGATTTTGCAACTTAAGAATCGAGTCTCATTCCTTTATTTGGGTTACAACAAAATGTATTCATTATCATCCATTGGGTCACAAAAGAGCCAAATCTCAACTAGCTCCAAAAAAGATGGAGGGTCTCTCTGGTAAATCCGGTTGACAAACTTTTAACTAAATGCAACTAAAATTGTTTTCATGCAGGATTTTAAATTTGGCTGTAATGTCTCTATCCATGAATGGAAGGTTAAGTATGATCGTGACTGTCCACCAAAAATGAGAGCTTTGTCCAACGCAAAACTGAAAATTGCCAAACTTAACTGGCACTCTACCATTTTAAACAACTGAAAGAAAATTAAACTACTTGAAATTTATTCTGAAAGATACTCAAGAAATTTTCCATTAAAGTCATAAAATCTGAAGATTGAACTTTTCAACTTAATTCGACAAAAAATTGCTGTAGGGACTGAACATTTTGCCCTCTCAGACTTTCTGGTGGAAGCTCATAACTGTATTTATCAGGATGAAAACTTTGATGCCATTGAATTGAAATATTGCAAGAGTCTCCATCTTTGTAGCTTATTTTGTAATAATTTTTTCCCCTTTTTTTAAGGTAAAAGAAGCCCTGCAGCGAATGGGCGCTCTCCTGCCCATGAACATCTTTTTGCGGCAAGAGGTCGACAGAATCCAAAAGGTCATATCTGAGGTTCAGCAAACTTTGTGTGACCTAAGACTTGCCATAGATGGAACGATTGTTATGAGTCAGGGGCTTAGAGATGCTCTGGATGCAATGTATGATGCTAGAATTCCTAATAAATGGAAAAAGGTACGGGTCTTTTCCACCAGACAAGCGTTCAAATTTCTAACTTTGAAACTTGCAAAAATCAGTGCGACATTCAGTAACTTTTTCTGCAGTACCTGTAGAGAGAAAAGAACTAGATAATGGACCCCCAGACTAAGTACAAATTAAAGCGTTGAGCTTTTTGACACATGAATTCAAACCTCCCACTCAAACAACTCAACAAAACAAAACTCTACATCAGTCAATTCATGCCTGATTTGTTGCCATAATAATCCCTCCGGCATGAAAATATGACAGCTTTAATCCCGGCACTTTTGCTCAATTGTTGCACTATTTTTATAAATACTTTAAATGACAAAAACTGGAGAGGGAACACTGCTTGATTAAAGAGCCCACCACAACTGTTGTAGTAGGCAATTCAACTCTCGTAGAGTATTGCTTTTCTTGTTAGCGGGCAATTGAAATTTCCTGAGACGAATGCTAACCAAAAACGTTCCTGTCTTACCTACCTAGGAAGTGATTTAAGAAATTTCTGTTACCTGAATCAAGTTCTACATACAATTTGGATAAGGAAACATATAACAGAACGCTTTGATTCGTACTTTATCTAGATTCCATTTAGGTGTCAGTCCTAAACTCATGCTTGAAATTTTACCACAGAGTTGTATTTGAAACACTCAATTTCCAACAAATCAGTCCACATGATAACCTTTCTATAAATTTTAGAACATTTTCGTTGCAAAAAAGTGTACTCAAGACCCTTTTAAATTTGATGCTTCCAAGGCAATATCTTAGAGTTAATGCCTCTAAGGCTCAGTAAATTTTTCCATTAACATAATAGCACTTATAATCCTCCATTCATAGTGTATCAGCCGTGATAGCAAAGAAAGCAGTAAGTGCAGTTCTGTATGAGCCATGATTAGCACATACTTTTATGTGTCTTGAGGTTCATCCCAGCATGCACTTACTGCTCTCTTCCCTATCACAGCAGGTATGTTTATTTGAAATAAAATCTTCGGCACTTTTAATCCATAATTATTCTAAATCAAAATAAAACCTAAACATAGGCACTGAAATTAGAAAAGCCTTTAATTTTTTACTTTTCTAACGAGAGCTCTTGTTTGAACTTCCAGGTTTCCTGGGAGTCTGCAACTCTTGGATTTTGGTTTACCGAGCTGCTAGAGAAGGACATTCAATTCAGACGATGGTGTAATGTTGGACGACCAAACGTATTTTGGATGACAGGATTTTTCAACCCTCAAGGATTTTTGACTGCTATGCGACAAGTAAGGATTACTGTTTATCACTAGAGGAGTGTGGTGGGTCATTGCCTCATTGGTCAGCTGCTGCATGGATGGGTTGACAAATTAAATGAAACTTTCAGAATACAAATGGGAATGCTTCCTGTCTAAAGATGTATAGTATCGATGGCTAAAGTGAGAAACCATGTATCTCCGTTTGCAATGTTGTAGACTTTCAGTCATACTTTATTTTTTCCTTGGCAAACTAGTCAACGTAATTTTTTTAAAAAGTTCTTGATTTTTTTCTCTGTTAGTAGAATGTTCTGCTTAAATTTCCAGCTGTAAAGCTGACTCAATCCTCTTCAAAGAAAAAAAGTTAGGAGTAGAGATTTTTGAAACTTGCACTTGTTGCACTTTAGCCATCAATTAGTAATTCATTTTTTAACTGTACTATAGATGTAGAAATTAAGGTGCACCTTATAAGGAAATATACTGAATCTGTGTAAAACGAAAGTAAACCTACTACATAGAAGTATTTACAATAAAAAACTAACATTTTTCTGGAGTGTCCCCTTTCTCAAGGTAGGGTAAAGGGAGTGATACCTCACAAAATGACACTATCTCGTCCACCATACCATACAAAAGGGAACAATCAGTCCTTGTAATGTCAGGAATATTTGTGTATTTTTATTGCAAATAATTCTATGTAGTAGTCTACTTTTGTTTCATATAGATGCAGTTGATTTATCAGGTCTATTAGGCCAGGTTCCAAATCTCTGCAATATAAGTTCATTTTTTCCAGGAAGTGACTCGTGCTCATAAAGGCTGGGCGTTGGATTCGGTTGTTCTCCAAAACTTGATCACACGCCACAACAAAGAAGAGCTGAACGATTCGCCGCCTGAGGGTGTTTACGTGCATGGTTTATTCTTGGAAGGTGCGAGTCTGGATCGTCGCAGTGGCAAACTTATAGAGTCAAAGCCAAAGGTGTTGTACGAACAGATGCCTGTCATTTACATTTACGCAATAAACACAACTGCTGGGAAAGATCCGAAGCTGTACGAATGTCCAATTTACCGCAAGCCACAGAGGACGGACCAGAAGTATGTAGGGTCCATCGATTTTGAGACTGATAATAACCCCAGGCACTGGACCTTAAGGGGTGTTGCTTTGCTTTGTGATATTAAGTGAATAGTTTCATTATATTCTTACCATAAGGAATTGTTTCATTTTCTAAGCTTTCATGTTGATGCTGTATTGCTGTTGTCGTGTATTTCGTTTGTTGGAGGCGCGTTCACAAGGCTTGCCGAGCTGCTCATCAGGCCGCCTGACGTGCCATTTGATGAGCCCTCTGCCAAGGCCTCTACCAAACATGCTCTGCTGTCATGGACTAAGAGGAAAATATTTATTCATTATAAAATATTTATAAAAATATAAAACTATTAAAATGTGTATATATAAATATTTATTTATTATATTTGGACCGCGTTTAACAGAAAGGAACCAAGCCACATCAGCTATTGCCAAAGTTAACTGGACAATTTAATTTTTTAGGAGAGAACATTTGTGCGGATTCTTTTGAAAATGTTAGGGCGTTTGCTTCATACTATGGAGAAAATCTACTGAAATCAGCACGAAAATCCGCACAACCGTTTATATGTAAAAAATTTAATTGCCCACTCATACTTGGCAGTAGCTGATGTGGCTTGGTTCCTTTCTGTTTCACGCGGTCCATTTATTCTCTCAGTCCATGTGACAGTGACGATAGGGAGAGCTTTGGTGGTGAATTCATCAAGCCCATTCAAGCTAGTTGTATGAGCGCGCCTTTAGTAGTGTAGAAAGGGGTAATAGGTATCAAACATGTAATTTTTTTTGTTGCTCCCAGAATATCTCGAAAATTTTCTACAATTTTTTCTCTTTTTTTTTTTGAAAAAAATATGTCTATTACTCCCGCTATGATTTATACCTGTGCACTGGGCTCATATGAATATGGTGTTTTAATGTGGATGGATGATTAACTTGACCAGCTATACTAGGATTGTATCAAAGGCTCAAAATAATTGACTGTTTCAATTTTTGCTTTCTTTTTTCCATTTTTCTTTCCATATGTTATTAAAACTTGTTTGTTTATATTTTACAAAAATATATTTTTTTAAAAAAAATCAAGCCATGCATTTTATTGCCAATCAGAGATTCATTCGACTTTTTTTCATTTGTTGGTGTGGCGAAGGAATCGTACCTAACATCTGTAAAATGTCAATAGAACTTAATGCTAACAATAGGTCAAATGCCTCTGAATACCAGGGCCGGATTTAGGGGGCCACACGGGCCGCGGCCCTTGGCGGCAAACGTTGTCATTTTTTCAAATGTAGGTAACAAGAAAAAAATCTGATTCAGAAAAAAAATTACAAACGAGAAAAGGCGAAATAAATCTCTCATTTCCTGAGAGTCAAAGTATAGTAATTTCCAATTCGTTCGTCTGTCGGTGATACAAGAGACAGCGCCTTTCATTAGTCTAGTTGAGACAGAAACCAAACACGCAATTTGGCCTGGAGCGGCGCAGCGTAGAGAGTAATGATGACGAGGACTTGAGATGGAAAAGAGAAGCTCTCGGCGCGCCGGTCAGCATGGAACATATATTAGCGCCTACAAGACTCCATGAATACTTCACGCATTGCGTCAAACGTAGTGCGGTCAGCAGCGGTTGGCGTGATGCGTGAAACTCACAGTGCCTACAAGACTGCATGAATACTTCACGCATTGCGTCAATAACAGTGCGGTCAGCAGCGGTCGGCGTGAAACGCATAGCGCCTACAATACTGTAGGGATACTTCACGCATTGCGCCAAACACAGAGCGGTTGGCGCGGTGGCGGAAATTACAATCATCAAACCACATTCATGTTTATTTTCTCATAATTTTTTCGTTCTTTTCTTATAAATGAAAGGCCTTGACCACACAGAGGAAGGTTTACGGAACTTAACTTTCGCGCTAAGTTCCGTGAACTTCAGCTAGTGTTGATAGGGCTTTCACAAAAAATACGTCCAACACGAGTAAGTGTCGCGTCTTATGCACCTCTCCTCCTCCGGGACGATCACTTGATGGTTTGTATCGATGCTTCAGAACGAATGAGAAGGGGCAGTAAAATACAAGCGGCCCAGGTAAGCGGCGGCAAGTAGGTAAATCCGGCCCTGCTGAATATACAGAAATGTTAAGTAGTCCTAAAGATAATTTGGTGACTTGGGTGAAAGTAAAACAAATCAGAGCCTTTACTTAAAAAAAAAAAAAAAAAAAAAAAAAAAAAAAAAAAAAAAAAAAACAGGAGGATCCTGAAAAAAGTGTGTGATGGGGGAGAGTGGTATGACTCTCCGAGAAGTGAAGATTCTTATAAGCAAGGTGTCCATCGGTCCAAGAAGTCCGGAGATAGTATTAATTTTTTGAGGACGGTCCGGAAATACTGAGAAAGTACGGAAATTCCCTATTAAGGTCCGGATTTTTTTGCTTCAGGCCATGGGTGTTTTTAAAACAGCCTGGAAAACATGCAATCCGTTGCGAAATTCAAAAACGCCTTCAATTGTGGCGTGATACCTCATGCATTCCGAAGAGTTCGTATAGTTGTATCGTTGCGCCTTGGCAATGCGATGAAAGATTAATATTGAAGTAGCCTCCACGCTGGCCTTGTCGGTTGTCGGTTTCCTTTGCTGCTATTGCAGTTTTGACTGTAAAGTTATAGTATGTTCAAGCCTGCATGCAACGAGAGGGTATGTATTCAATCGACATGAATCGAAAGAAAAATAAAAACGTGAACCGATCAACACCGATTCCATGGAAAAAAAAGTGGATCAAAATCAGTAGAAAAATTGCATTTACCATGAAAATTTCAAATTGCGACAACTCGAAAATGGGATCAGCCAAGATTTTGATTATTCGCGATTTTAAGTCTACACGTATCATAGATTCACCTAGTCTGCAAACCGTTTTTGAGTAAAGTTTTGTTGCATTTTTTTTTTGCTTCAAGACCACTGTGCTCACGTAGTCTGATGCGGAGAATCAATTGCGCCTGATCTCCAGACGCTGCGGAGCTTTCTGAGCCACAAAACGAGTGTTTTTGACTGCTTTTCTTCTGTTTTTTTAAACAGTTAAATTTTTATAGGTTTATATAATGAGATTTTTTTTTAAATTCCCGAGTTTTTTGAAGTTTTTTTCTCCAACAATCTTTGCTACCTACCAGGGAAGCAGAAAATTAGTGGTTCAACTGCTGCGGTGGCTAAACTCAAATTTTATGACCGTAACAGTTCTAGCAATTTTCAACCGTATACAAACCGTATGCACACACTCACGTCAAGCCCACCCTTGTACGAAAATGAGCCCAATTTTTTTTTTTTTTTGTACAGGGACAACTTCTCCTTTCAATGAACCCTACGGCACACCTATTCACATGGCTTCAAAGACTCACCTGAAAATTGGCTCGTTTCCTTTTAAATTACATGCGCTTAAAAACGCAACAAGTGATTCTGTGCTCCTAGAAATATAGTGGCAAAGCCGCGAGAGAGCAGCACTATGTACTCACCTCGCATAAGTATCCCAACATTCACAACAGAGAGCAGCAGTGATAAACGCTGAGCATCCTAGGGACAAAATACCATCAGATCCCTCTAGATCTCAGAGACTGTTACAGACTCTTATTATTCCTGTGTAGTGTGTATCGATTGGATAGATTCAACCAGAATCACCCTAACTCCATTTCAAGTTGTCTAGTTTTCTCTCATGCCTAAACTTTCTGTTCTTTTCACCTTGATTAAGTATTAAAGATAAACTCACATGATTTCAGGTCAGAATTTCACTTACCTGGTATGATGTAGGTATAAAAAAACAAACACGAGAGGAAATTAGACAATAGCTATGCAGATAGGTTGATTTTGATTAATTTTACCCACGAGATTGCTCAGTGAATATGAATGTATTTTCATTTGTATAATTTTACAATCAATTGTCTACCTATTTATAACTTTAAGTAGGTATGCGAGGCCAAAAACAACATCCGAAACCCGAGGCATTATGACTAAACCACACAGCCATATTCAATCAAGTCTTTTGAGTGAAAATCAGACATATATAGAATAATTATACTTGAGTATACATTGAAAAAAAATTGGTAGAGGAGGTAAGAGCCCATGGTCTTCACAGGAATATCTACACTGGAACTAAGCGGATACTTACAATCACGATTTTCCTGGAAATAAGGGCTAACTATCATCGAGAGGGACTTCCCCGCCCTCGCCCATCAGTGGCGTGGCGTGCTTTGCGATATATCGATTGTTATGCCATTTAAACATATGGAAAAAGATCGAAAAACAGGGCGTTCGCAGCGAACACCTTAATAATCGATTCTTTACCATAGGTTTAAATGGCATAACAATCGATAAATCGCAAATCACGCCACGCTACTGTCGCCCATGAATATTCAGTCTAAAAGCCAGAGCGATAAGAGATCAGAAAATTTCATGAAAAAAAACCCCATCATACAAGAGCTTACTTTCAAGATTAGAAATTTTTTTGCCAAAGCCAATCCCATCTGCGGGCTGATTTTTTAAATTATAACAAAAAACATAGCGACAGATAAAGAATAAGGCACAAGGAGTATGGAGCGATCTTACCGCTTGAAACGGATGGTTCTTATAGACAAACCCTGATAAAAATTGGCTATAGGAGCTGCGTTTCAAAATACCATAGGAGTTCTTATAGCCGACTGAAGAAGGCGATTGAAAATCATACAGCTGGCTGTAGAAAGTGGAAAAATCATACGGCCGGGCTACACGAAGTGATAAAAAATTGAACAGCCGGGCTATGGTTCCTGTCGCCGGGCTTTACACTTTATCGCCTGGCTGTTGCTCTTTCGCCATCGGCTATAAAAGGCTAAAAGAAATTGTGTAGAAATTCGTGTGTTTTGTAAATCCTCCAGTTTGTACGGAATCACCATAATATTTACAAAACGCACATTATATTTTCCTTTACTACATATTTGTTTTCATCAATTAAAATGATAATAATCCAGAGTGTGCAAACATTTCAAAGTCATGAGTTGAACAACGCTGACTCCACGAGATTAAATATTAGAGCCTAACCAAAGCGGAACGGCGACGCATTGGCGCGGTGCCTGCAAACCTAACAGGGATACTTCACGCACTGCGCAATGCGTGAAGTATCCCTGTTAGGTTTGTAGGCGCCAATGCGCGTTTCGCGCTGGCTGCCCGCCCGCCGCGCTGCGCCGCAGCATACCACGGCGCTTGAAGCAACTATTTCACACCAGAGGTATTGCACAGTATCGTACGAAATTGAAGGCGCTCCAACATATTAGGAATGGCAGGCATCCTTCAAACGCACGGAGCTTCCCTCGCAAAATAAATCAAGATACTACGGCCCAAAAAGAGAGCGGTGGTCCAAAAATTCACGAAGTCCCAGCATCTGTAGGTAATTAGTAACGGATAGCACACACTTTATCG